GAGGTATTTAACAATGTTTCTCTTATAATTATTTTTTAAATAATTTTTTTAAGCTTACATATATCCATATCCATCATGCATGCATGTATGGAACCCATATGTACACACACATATTAACTGCTAGGCATATTCTAGAGCTCTGTGTCTGCAGGATGACCATTACTTAATACTTTGCTTAGTTTCCATTCTCCAGAAACAGATGCTTTCCACAACAGAAGCTACATCTTTAAGAAATACTTAATAAATCAGATTTTTGACAACTAAAGCATTACATTAAATTTTCACTTAAGCTCCCAAGAAACCCATTAACATAGATACATATTTGTTTCCTCTGTTCTAGCAGTAACTTACTAAGCAAAGCTACCCCAGAGAGCTCTCATTTACCTTACCTGGAGCAGGTACATAATATGGACTGTATCCATGACTGAGGTACCATGGATTTGGATAAGGCTGTTGTGCTGATGGCTGAGCATAAAAAAAGGGTCTTGTGTTGCTTGTAGAATATGATCCACTTTCTGAAGTTGAGGCAGTATTCATTTTTCTTTAAACACTGGAAGAGATAAATGATCATTATCAATCACTTTAAAGAATTGCACAACCTAATGATTTTACACTCTGTCAGAATTTAGCAGACATTCCTCTCCCAGCTCAAAGAAACCAGATCCTTCCAAAAGAAAGCTACTATCTTCCAGACAGCAAACAGAAAACTGACATTACTATCAAGGTCAAATATTTCAGTTGTCCTCTGCTAAGTTCGTTTTTATATGCAGCTTTCAGCATTAGTTTTTCAAGCCAACCTTATAACATGCTTTAAAGACACAGGACACTCACAGAACTTTAGTAGTCTTAGATGCATGCATCCATAAGTAGCATTCCAGCCAATTATTAAAAAAAGGAAAAAAAAAAGGAAAAAAAAAGGCAACAGAAGGCTTCACACTATTAGACATTTAATGTTCCACAAAGAAAACACTTCTTAATGCTAACACATATTGTTACACATCACAATAAGAACTCTATTAATTCAGGATTTGTACTTTATAAATTATTTAAGAACAATGATAGCTAACATAGTAAACCAAATATTTCAGTGACACCACGCTTCCTGTGCTTAACCTAAATAACAGGTAACAAAAACAACCCCACTAAAATTCCTGAGTGTAAGTTTGTAATCAGAACCATACAGAATTCACAAGATGGAACTTCCTCCCACACTTATTTCTTCAGTTAACTAACACACTAATCTCAGTCCATTCCTACCCATGCAAGTGATACAACCCTATCACACACAGCTTTTAAAAAAGAACACAGAAGATCTGTTGACTGCACAGAATAATAATAAAAAAACCCCAACACCAGCTCAACTCTGTGGAGAATTCAAGCACTTCAAAGTTATAGGAAAATTAATTCCAGACCTGTTACAAACTAGCACACCCTTCAGCCTAGAGTTTCAGAACGCTTTTAGGAACACTGGAGCCCTCTTCAGTTTCCATGTAGGGTGGCCTGTCCAGCTCTTGAAAGCATCAAAAAGCCTACAGACTCTCCTAGGCCAAAGCTCCCAGAATTATTTTGACCTTTCAGAGAGCGAGTAATGTAGGGAAAGAAAATAACCCACAAAAACAATCCCCCTCCCCCCCCTACAAAAACTAAGTTATTCCTGCACCCTGAGAGCCCCTCAAAACTAAGGTCGCTGCTGCTTCCAGCCCAGCAAGAAAGTAACCACAGCGTCTGCTCACCCTCTTTATGGCAGGCAGCTGCTACTCGTCCACTCCCCCTCCCACCTGAGGCTTGTTTAGCAGTGACGCCTGGGACCTTTTTCCGTCAGTGTGTGGGAGGAGAGTCAAAACATGAGGGTAGGAGTAACGGTAAAAGCCTTCAGCTGGTGTACAGAAAGCTGGCAGTCTCATCTTGCAGATGTTTAAGCTGCATCTCTAAGTGAATCTGGTATTTCCCTTTTGTAATGTTGGAACTTACATTAAAAAAGAAGGGAATTATTACCAATCTTCTGATTAAAACTACTGTTAGAGACACGTCTTGTAGGGAAAAAAAAATTAGACAATGCAAGGCCAAGTTTATGTTTGTTTCAAAGGTTTGCCAGTTGTTCAGTAGGGAGTAAAGGGAGCAATACTCTTCAATCCTAACATGGCTAAGTGGGCTGAGAAACGTAATGTTCTTTCTGTATGAACAGGAGAAGCACTTACTGCAGTACGGTGTATTCCACCATGTACGACAGGAATTTATGAAGTGTGAGGTTGCAATTTGACTCTGTGCTGGGTCTTTACAGGAGATGAGAATCTGAGTTGCTACTCTGGAATCGCACATCTCCAAATACAGTGCTCAGGTCCTGGGGCAGGTGGCAGGAGAAGAAAGCACAATGCATGAGCTATGCAGGCAGGTGAGTGGCTAAGGAAAAACAAAGAGATATGGATACTTAGAGACTGTTTTCATTTCTGTGTTGGGAAATTCACAAACCCTCTGGTTTTTTCTTACTATAATGTTCGGATTAAACATGTACTTTGCACCAAGACACAAGCTATAAAATGCCTGGGAAGGATGAGTGATTCACTCCTCACAGACATCCCCAGCCAAAGCTTGTCCTTTCCACTGATGGCAGCGCTTGTACTTAGTGCAACCAGCCACTTGTAGTGACAGGACAGGGAGTAATGGGTACAAATGGAAAGAGAGAAAATTCAGGCTAGGTGTTAGGAAAACATCACAGTAGATGTGAGGGTTGTAAGAGACTGGAACAGGCTACCCAGGGAGGTTGTTGGATACCCTGTCTCTGTCAGTGTTCAAGGCCGGCTTGGATGGGGTTTTGAGAAGTCCCATCTAGTAAAAGATGTCCCTGCCCATGGCAGGGGGGTTGGAAGTAGATGATCTTTAAGGTCCCTTCCAACCTTAACTCCTAGCTTTTCTTTTGGTGAGTGGACCCAAAGGGAAATAAAGAAAATAAGTAACAGTCACTAGCTTTTAAAAAGTTGCATTTATCAGGATTTTCCTTTTCCTCGGACCTCCCATCAGCCTTCAGAGTCAGAATCAGAATCACAGAATCAGAATATTCTGAGTGGAAAGGGACCCACAAGGATCATTGAGTCCAACTCTTAAGTGAAGGGCCCTTAAAAGAATAAAACCCACTCCTGCCTCTTGTGCCCCTGTCGCTTCCTTTTCTCCCGAGGCAAGCTCCAGGCCCCACAAGCCTCAAGCAGCATTTGCACAAGGGCCAGCAAACCTGGGCTTGGCCAAAGGATGTTCCAGGATGGCCAAAGGACCAAAGGCAAGTCCCCAAGGGAAAAGGAGGGTCTGGAATGTAGAGTGGACATGGCCAGGCTCAGCTTGCAGGTGGATCCCAGGGGGATAAAGCAATGCTGGGATGCACAGTGGGACATGGCTGGGCCGGGCATTAACCCTGAAGCCTGCAGGTCTCCAGGCTGCAGCAAGTCTGGAGCACAGGTCCTGTGAGGAGTGGCTGAGGGAGCTGGAGTTGTTTAGCCTGGAAAAGAGGCGACTCAGGGGTGACCTCATCACTCTGTACAGCTTCCTGACAGGAGCTTGTAGCCAGGTGGGGGTCGGTCTCTTCTCCCAGGAAACCGGTGACAGAACAAGAAGATACAGCCTCAGGCTGTACCAGGAGAGGTTCGGGTGGGATATGAGGCGGAATTCTTCAATTCAGAAAGGGTGATTAAACATTGGAACGGACTGCCCAGGGTGGCGGTCATGGAGTCACCATCCCTGGAGGTGTTGAAGAGACGAACGGGACGAGGCACAATACGTGCACGTAACGTCGAGTCGACACAGTGGTGTTCAGTCACAGGTCGGGCTCCACGCTCTGGGCCGTCTTTCCCAACCTAACTGAGCCTGTGTCTCTGGGTGTGCGTGAGGGGGGACTCGTCCCGCTCCGCGTGCCGCGCGAGCCGCCGCCGGCCCGGCGCGCGGGCAGGGGGCGCTCGCGGGGCGGCAGGGGACAGGAAACCGGGGGCGGGCCTGGCGCGCGGGGCGCCCCGCTCCGCGCAGGCGCACACGGGGCGGGCGCGGCGCTCCGTAACGGCGGGCGGTGAGGGGGAGGAGGGGAGGAGGAGGAGGACGGCGGGGGCGGGCGGCAGCAGCGGCAGCGCCTGCGCGCCCGGGGCCGCCGCCTCCGCAGCCCGGGAGAGACACCGGATCCGCCGCCGCATCCTCCCCTCCGCCCCGCTCCGCCGCGGCCGGCGCGCCGAGGCAGAAGAGGAAGCGGCGGTCGGAGGTTTGTCCGGGGCAGGGAGCGGAGCAGGGTGGGCGGGAGGGATGGCGGCGGCGGCGCTCCCGCGCTCGCGTCCCGGCGTGCGGCGGCTGCTGCCGGGCCCTTCGCCGGCCCCGCGGGGGGAGTGGCCGCCCCGAGGGGACCCCGGGGCTGGGGAGGCCCGCGGCGGGGGGGTGGTCTGTGGCTGGTGCTTCTCCCGCCCGCCCCATCCCTCTCTTCCTCCGCGACCTGCGGCCGCTCCCGCCCGGCGGCGGCGGCCCCTGGCCCGCCGGGCAGCGGCGGAGGGGGCGGCGGGGGCCGCCCTCAGGCAGGGCCGGCTCCCAGGAGAGGCCGGCGGGGCGGGAAGGTGTCCCCTTCCTTCTGGTGGAGGCAGGAAAGCGATTAAGGCGGCGGAGGGACGGGACGGCGCACCTGGGCACCGGGGAGAGGGAAGAAATGCGTTTCCTCGCCTGTAGTCCCGTGTCGGCGCGTCCCGCGGGCGGGAGGGGGCCGTGACCGCGGGGCTTCCAGGGCTCCCCTTGGGTTTAGCAGGTGGGGATGTCTGCAAGCCTCGGTGTTTGTGCTGGAAGTGCTTGGAGGCACGGACACGGTGAAGCCTTCGAGGGGAGCAGCAGGATAGTGGCACTGCCGTTTCCTGTGGCTGCCCCTCGCGTTTCCCTGCTGATGGATCTAGTTGTGTTGGTATATACGCTATTGGTACCTGCGGTGGCCGAGGGGGGGCTTCGGTGTTTACGTGGGGATTTGAAGAGTCAGATAATTCTTAGTAAGCTTTTATAGGCTACATATATGCGTAGTATAGCTTAGAAATTAGTCATCTGCGTGCTCAGGATTTTTCCGGTGTTTACCATTATTTCTGCTCGGATAGATACCTGCTGCTTTTGAAAGAACTTTAATTATGATTTAGAAATGGATTTGTGCTGTAGTTAGCAAATTCGTTTTTAGAGGTTTTATTGCAAAGCCACATCTTGGCTTTCTACATCATCTACATCTACTTTGTGATCATAGTGGGCATGAAAGGCTATGTGCTGTTGTGAGCTCACCTAGGGCTGTATCTACGTGAATTTTGTTTGGATTATGTATTTAAGAGATTACTAAAACACACACTCAACTTAGTTCATTTTCTCAGAAATGTACCTGGAGAAATAGGTAATTTTTCGTATTTAACATACCCAGACGTGTAAATTGTGTAGTCTCATGATTTGAGTATAGATGTCGCACCTCTTTCCTAATTATTTTTGCGTGTGGAGTAGAAGGGGCCCATTATACTCAAAGATGTGTAAGTAGCATCTTGCAGGAACAGACCAAAGAGGAAGAAAAGATGCTGCTGCTTATTTAGTACTTTTTTGTACTACATTTTAGACAGATGGCTGTTTGTGCTTGTATTGTTTTTTTTTTTTCCAGAGCAGGCTTTTTTGTTTTGGTCATGTGATTATGAAACGGACCAGAATTGGTGCAAATCCTAAAATTTCTCTTTATTTAGTGGCTGTTGCGCTTTGAGAATAAATTTTATATGCATGAATATGATATCCATTATAAGACTTAACCTTTCAGGAACTAACTTACAATTAATTAGGTTACGTTAATTATTAATCTAATTTCTTAATGTAGAAATGCTTGAATTTGTAGTTGAACATCATGTAGTGAATATTTAAGGGACTGACGCATACTTGAAAACAAATTTAAGTTGTTAAATAAAACAGACTAGCTTCATTAATGTGCTAGAGTTCAGAGAGAAAAAACCCCCACTGTTGTGTACATCTGTGATACATGGCTGAATCTTACTAGAGACATCCATGGCCCACTTTTTTTCAAATGTTAATTTCCCAAAACACGCCAAGTCTTTCCACAAAACAGAAAACACCCTTGGGGATGGAAACTACCGTGCTCAGTGTAGAAGTCCAGTAGCCAATTTAAGCTGTTCGTTTATCTGGTGCTAATTTTCTTTCTGAGCAGGTATTTCCTTTAGTGTATGACTTCCTTTAGGAGCAGAAAAACAGGAAAGAAACTGGTAATGAAGAGTGCATTGTGACCAAACATGCTGTTAGCATGGAGTATGACACTTCCAGTCTTTAGCTTCTGCATAGTTTCAGAAAACACAACTACCCCAAAGTTGTAACTCACCTCCCAAACATAATATGTGTGGAAAACAGTAGTAGTTTCCAGGTGAGTAGTCATTTTCAACATAACATTGTAGGAATAAATCTGGCCTTGTTTTTTGTGATATTTCACATTGTTGCTTTATTAGAATCTCCTTGATGTCCTCAGTTTTCTGGACTGCAGTGCTATCAAAGACACCTTTGATGGCTTTAGAAGAGAGGAAAACTTCCAAGTCTGGAACTGCTTCATCAATTACCTATTTCTCTCTCATTGCCAAAGATGCAAATTTGATACATTACTCAAGAATCCAGAGCTTCCAACTCCTTCCTTTCTCCTTTTTCAATTTTTTTTCACTTTTTCTTTTTTTTAAAATTTTTTTCATTTTTGTTTTGCATTTTTTCTTTTTTATTTTTCTTTTTCCTTCTGTTTTTCTTCTTTTCTTCTTTCTTTTTCTTTTTCTTCTTTCTTTTTTCTTTTCTTCTTTCTTTTTCTTTTCTTCTTTCTTTTTCTTTTCTTCTTTCTTTTTCTTTTCTTCTTTCTTTTTCTTTTCTTCTTTCTTTTTCTTTTCTTCTTTCTTTTTCTTTTCTTCTTTCTTTTCTTTTCTTCTTTCTTTTCTTTTCTTCTTTCCTTTTCTTTTCTTCTTTCTTTTTCTTTTCTTCTTTCTTTTTCTTTTCTTCTTTCTTTTTCTTTTCTTCTTTCTTTTTCTTTTCTTCTTTCTTTTCTTTTCTTCTTTCTTTTTCTTTTCTTCTTTCTTTTTCTTTTCTTCTTTCTTTTTCTTTTCTTTCTTTTTCTTTTCTTCTTTCTTTTCTTTTCTTCTTTCTTTTCTTTTCTTCTTTCTTTTTCTTTTTTCTTTCTTTTTCTTTTCTTCTTTCTTTCTTTTTCTTTTCTTCTTTCTTTCTTTTTCTTTTCTTCTTTCTTTCTTTTTCTTTTCTTCTTTCTTTTTCTTTTCTTCTTTCTTTTTCTTTTCTTCTTTCTTTTTCTTTTCTTCTTTCTTTTTCTTTCCTTCTTTCTTTTTCTTTCCTTCTCTTTCTTTTCTTCTTTCCTTCTCTTTCTTTCCTTCTTTCCGTCTTTTTCTTTTCTTCTTTCCGTCTTTTTCTTTTTCTTTCCTTTTTTTTCTTTTCTTCTTTCCTTCTTTTTCTTTTTCTTCTTTCCTTCTTTTTCTTTTTCTTTTTTTCTTCTTTTTCTTTTTCTTTTTCTTTTTCTTCTTTCCTTCTTTTTCTTTTCTTCTTTCTTTCTTTTTCTTTTCTTCTTTCCGTCTTTTTCTTTTCTTCTTTCCTTCTTTTTCTTTTCTTCTTTCCGTCTTTTTCTTTTCTTCTTTCCGTCTTTTTCTTTTCTTCTTTCCGTCTTTTTCTTTTCTTCTTTCCGTCTTTTCTTTTCTTCTTTCCGTCTTTTTCTTTTCTTCTTTCCGTCTTTTTCTTTTCTTCTTTCCGTCTTTTTCTTTTCTTCTTTCCGTCTTTTTCTTTTCTTCTTTCCGTCTTTTTCTTTTCTTCTTCTTTTTCTTTTTCTTTTTTTCTTCTTTTTCTTTTCTTTTTTCTTCTTTTTCTTTTCTTCCTTCTTTTTCTTTTCTTCTTTCTTTCTTTTTCTTTTCTTCTTTCTTTCTTCACCCTTGCTATTAGCTGGTATAATAACCTTGTAACTCAGAATATCCCTAATAGCAGCCAAGTATGAAGGCGCCTGAGCTTCGTACTTGTGTTGCTAGCTGGGAGGATTGCTATCTCCACACACACGAATGCTTGTTCAGGTCTGAATTCTGATGTTTTATTATGTTAAAAATAGTGAATGACTCAGTTCTTTAGACGTGTTTTTACTTGTGATTTGTATGAAGCTGCCCTTGGATGGAAATAGGAATTTGATTAAAAGTGCACAAAAGTAGTATTTAAAATTCTTTTTAAAATTAGTTAAAACTAGATTACATAAATTGAATGTCCAGGGAGATAAGTTTTGGTTGTTGTGTTTCTAATTTTTCTTCCAAACATACAGGTTTATTGAAGTGTGAATTGTAGTTAGTGAAGTTAGAATTCAAGAGGTATTTAGATGGCTGAAGATGCAGATGGGGACCTGTGACACTTTCATAGATGTTCTAAGTGTTTCCCAGCATTTTATGCCAGTTAGGCATCTAATCTGGTAGACTACTCAATGGGATTTTCAGAAGGACTTACTTCTTTTCCCAGTATCAAAATACCTAAAAAACCTACAAAACAAAAGTGAAATTGCTTATAATTTGAAAAACAATAAATATTTGTTTAAATGAGTCCAGTTGAAGATTATTATGTCTATATATCTTAAATGTTTCCCTACCGATTAAATTGGAAATAGTCAGTATAGTTATTCCCTGTTATACACTGAAGTATAGAGTTAACACTGCCATGTATGTAGTGCAGTATATATCTCTGTTTATCAATCTTTGCCTGACCTCAGAAAATAAACAGATTCAAGGAAGGCAATTAATAGCCTATCCCATAACTCATTAACATTTGATGACTAATTTTTTGAATGGTCTCATTCAGATTTGAAGCACATGAACAAGTGTTAACAAGCCACCTCATTAAAATTACTTAAGCGAGAAGGAATAATTACTTAAAAACAAACCCTCTTATCAACATGTTACTTAATGTTGCTCTCCAGCTTGACAGGAAGTTACTTTGGATCCCCTGGTGATAAGTTGATTTCATTTGCAATTCAGCACCGCTGTGGCCTTCCAGCAGCTACCTGCCCATCCAGTTTTAGAGAGCCGGCTTCCAAGAAGTTGCCTAGAACAAAATGGTCACTCCAGTGACATTGTTGAAGGGGAGAGTCTCATTCATAGAAACTTACTTGTATCCAAGGATTATTTTTATTCTATCAGAATTTCGACTCGGGATATTAAACTAACTTCAGCCGTAGATCTTTTCATCCGTAAGTCAGGAATGTTCACTGCTGTGTGGCTATTAAAACTACAGCTGACTGTAGTGCATCTGTACCCATCTTCTCTAGTCTGTAGTTTTTTGTTTAGCTGATATCCAAGTGCTTTATCTGAGATCCAAGCCAGGCACAGGGCGGTGAGAAAGATGTTGGGACTGGGAAGAACTGAGCCTCTTGTGCTTCTCTGTTGGAAGTTACTACGTTGGCAGCTTTGGACAAGCTGCTTTTTATTGCAGTGCCTCGGTTTTTCAGCCTCTAAAGTGAGGAGAGTGTCTCCTTTAAAATTGTTTTGAACTCTACACAGAGGTGTCAGAGAGGTAGGTTAATCTTGGATGACTTTCCAGGCACTTTGTGATGTTCCTACACTGCTTATCCTAATGTTTTGAACAGAGTCACTTCTCTTGAGCAAATGACAATATAAATGAGAGCAATTTTGGAACAGAAATTCAGAGATCCTTGATGTATTTATTGTTCTCTTGAGGAGTATTTTGTATGGTTCCATTACAAGGGAATGGGATGCAGCTCCAGACTTTGTGACAAATACAAAACTTTGGCCAATGGTTATCGTTGGCAGCAAAACACAGGGTGGATGTGGAAAACAGGTACCATGTACATAGCATGTTCCTACCATGTGCACCTCCCTGGAGCACGTGACAGATGGTTTCCTGTAAACCAAGGACTCCAGCTTTGCAAATGTATGGTTCAGAGGTGATTCACATCACAAAAAATGTTCTGCAACAAGACTCCTGTCATCTCCTCAATCTTTTCTGCTACTGAGGGTCGTATTCAAATGTACCGGTTATTTATAGTAATTAATTTCACAGTTTCAACTCGTCTTCTGCTGAACAGGTCTGCTTTTTCAGTTATTGACTGTCAGCCACATGCTGCCAAAAATGTCTTTAATCTTACTAGCAGGTGTATATCCATTTCTCCATGGCATCCTTGGCTGGTTGTAGTACCTAATGATTGAACTGGTGCATATTAGTTTTGCTCCTACTTCCTGTTCCTGAAGAAATACTTGTATTCCTTACAATTACATCAGTATAAGAAGTTACAATATCAGTGACTTCTTTTGCTAAAGCTTAGTATTACTGATGCTCTGCCCAAACAGAGCTTAATCCACCAGCTTGTATTGTTCTTGAAACTTTACTCCCAAGCCAGGAAAAACAATGCTGTAGAGAGAGACCCGGGATACCAGTAGAGCCACGGGCTATTTATTTCAGTGGGCCTAACACACTTAGGAAGTTGGTGTTTCTCTGTAGCCATTTAAAGTTCAGTGCAAAATCTGTCAGTGGATTTGGTTGTGTGGTAAACTGTTATCAGATAACCAGGACAGTGGTCAGTGCTGCAGAGACTGCATGTGTATGAATTTGGTGAAGAGAAGCTGTGTCTTGAAGCAGAAGGTCATTGCTTTAGACGAGCAGTATCTTTCTATATCCTCAATATACCTGTGGTTTATTGTCTGTTATTATAGCAGACAGTGGTTTCTCCTTCTTTTCCCAAATATTAACATCTTTTCTGTTTTCCATAATTAGCTGCATCCACCTGAACAAACAGTGAATGTTGGTTTTGACTGTTCCAACTGTTTTCCTGTTAAACAACCAGAGAAAACTAAGAGTTTGAGATTCCTGTTTGTGTCTATTTCTTCAATGATAAAGAAAAAGATGGGTGACACTAAATTAGGAGTAATTAAAGTGGCATTAATTAAGCATATCTGTTTCAAGTGAGTGAATCTTGAAAGACAGCTGGTTTTGAATTGTATTACAGGCAGGGCTGTGTTGAAATACTAGATCTTTGATATGGCTGGCAGGTATTTCTACAGCCTTCATCTTGCACTAAATCATGTATTTTTATGTGGAATTTAAAGTATGTCATTTCAAGCAAGTTGTTTCTGCATTCTCTGTTCATCATGAACTATAATGATAGTGATGTCTTAGCCAGGGATGTGTTTGTCTTGTGTCTGTTCCTCAGTTTTGGAATGCAGTAGAACAATGCAAGATCAAATAAATCCAAACGTATTTGATAGGTGTGATACCCTGGTGCCTGTTAGGATGGTAATTTTACTGTCACAACTATCTCATTCTTAATTATGTGGAAGATAAAATAAAACCCATTTTTAAGAGGAGGAGAAATGTCCAAACAAGTAAATAGGCTTTGGTAGCCACTGTAGGTGTTTTGACCCCTGCTATTCCAGCTTCCCCTTGCTTCTACTATTTCCTTATTTTTCATTTCCATTCTCTGCAGCAGTCAGGCCTACCTGGCTGTATGAAAATTATTCGGAAGTTAAAAAATGGGATGTGAAATATTAATAGGTGAAGCCCTTCTACAAGAGAAGATGAATCAAATAAGCATTGGGGATATAAGTTTTTTGGTGTTTTTAGTCCCTATCTCTGATTTTGCTTGTTCTCTAGTAGAATGCCAAAGGTGAAATATACAGGTTGATCGTGATGTTGAGAGTTTAGCTGGAAAACTAAAGTTGCAGTTGAATTTGAAATGCAAACTGCATTTATATTTTTAGTTGCCTGGTATTGATAAGCTTTAAGTAGGAAAAAACCCAAAGAAGTGGAAAAAGTAGCTGTTTAATAAGGAAATGGGGAAAAAATGTGGCTGCCTTATCAATAGTTGAATGAAATTCACAGGTGTACTCAGTGGGAAATCTGGGTAATTCTTTGAAGAGGAATAAAGTCTTACTGAACCTTGTTTTAACTCTCCAGCTTTAGAAGCTGTGTTGACAAAATAAAGTATTTTAATTTGTGAGTCTAGGTCACATGAGAATTAATGTACAAACTCCTCTGCTTTTCATTTCTCGGATACTTTTGTTAATTTTTTCCTATGAGGATTTCAGTGCGAGTAATTAAGTACTAATTTAGAAATGTTTGTTAAACAGTTTTAAGGGGGTAACTAAGAAAGGTTTTTGTTAAAGTGCAAATGGTAAATTAATTTTATTTTCCTGCTTTCAGTCACTCAAGTGCAGCCACTCCTCACGAGATGTTACCACGAAATCTACCTCAGACTTCACTTTTGCTCATTTGTTTGCTGCGTCATAGATCTCAACAGGAGCTCTGCAGACACTCTTGAAAGTCTCTGAACAGATTGTGACATCAAGTTAAAGCATGATGACCTAACAGGAGGTCAAAGTCTCAAACATCGATTCAGCAGTTCAAGATAAAACTGCCCTTTTTTTATCAGTGTCACTTCCGAAGGCTACAGACCTCCTGCCATTTCTTTCCTGGTTACTTCAGAAACACTCAACTGACCTTTCTCTGGTGAAAAGATCTTGACTTTTCTCTCTGGTCCTGGAAATATTAATGGAATACAGTCATGTCTACCCAGGACGAGAGGCAGATAAATACAGAGTATGCTGTATCCTTGCTGGAGCAGTTAAAATTCTTTTATGAACAGCAGTTGCTAACTGACATAGTGTTGATTGTTGAGGGCACTGAATTTCCCTGCCATAAGATGGTTCTTGCAACGTGCAGCTCGTATTTCAGGTAAGTATTCAGACTAGGCTCTGGTAACTCTATAAAATTTGTGATGCCTGGTTTTTGGGTGTAATATTAATTAGCAACGTGTTGCAGAGACTTAAAGATCAGTGAAGTAAGTAAAAACTTAAATATCCTTAATTTCCAACACCAAAATAGTAAAACAAAATTTCTAGTGTCTTGTAACAGAACTCTAGATAAAAGTATTTTACTTTCTACAAGAAGTGTGTGTGTGTGTGTGGGGGAAAATCAGACTTGCGATGGCTCATTTTCTTTAGGGAGTTAATCGAGTCTGAATAATTAGTAAATTTCTTTTTCTTCACACTTAATCTTTATAGTATTTAATCTGTTTTTATTTCCCCAGGTAGGATAACAAGGGATTATTGAGAGTTGGCTATGGGAATTCCATTGTCTTGTTTAACTGTAGTTTCTTAGCAGAAGCCTCTGCTAAAAGTAGGGCTTGCTGTGCAAGTTCATGGCTTCCTTTTCTGAATCATCTGTTTTTCTCTGCTCAGCAAAGGTGCCAGAAACTCTTCCCTTGTTTGAGAGTCTTTGGGATTTTTTTTTTGTTTTGTTTTGTTTCATGCCCCTCCCTAGATACTGTTGAAATTTTTAATTCGGGAGCTCTTTCTTCCCAGGTGTCCTGTTTCTTGTCCTTTGAAAAGCTTTTTTAATAAGATACGCTGAGTGCTACCCCTTTTTGCAGATACATTCATAGTAAGACCTTGATGATGAGGCATCATGAATTTTCTGCAGTGATTAATCACTTTTTGTTGGCAACACAGTATAATTAATCTGCCTGTCTGGAAGGAATTCTGAAGCTCGAAACTAGTCTTGGTGACATCCACGCATATTTTACCTTCCTGATGCATTGTGGAGGGATTATAACTTTCCTGTTTAATCGCAGAAGCGTTTGCAAATTTGCTTTTCTTGAGATGGGCTCGCTATACAGAACACATCTAAAACGTTCTCTTTGTCTCCTTTCTTGTAGAAAACCATTCAAGGATTAATTTATTCATTTTTGTTGCTGCTGGTTTTTGTGTTTATTTTTTCATTTCGGATGAGTCTGGTCCAATTTTTTAGCAACAAGTATTGTGTGATCACTAGATAATGATTATTACCATTGGCCTTGTGCGAATGACATAGTTCCAACAGTTTGTAAAATAACAGCCCCTGGAAACGGAGCCAGATTTAATGTGGGTGGTTAATCATAAGGTTGGAAAGCTGTCATGAGTCCACACAGTGTGCTGCATCAGAATGTGCAGTCAAATCTCTTATTCATATGTGTTTGTTTATTATTTATGGAATGAGGTTTTGGCACCGGTTAAAAGAAGTATCAAACTTGTGGTTTTGTCATGTTCTGTTTTTCTTCTCTACTTTGGTTTACAAAAACATGCTCAGCTTCCTAAATTTAGCTTTATTATGAAAAATTGATAGCCCTGAAGGAGGGGGGAAAAAAGGCAAAGCATCTCTTGGTGTGATCCAACCTTTGTGTGTGATTGCAGCCAGCCTACCTTCCATCTTTGTGCCTGAATGATGTGCGGCCCTGCTCCAGCACAGCCTGCTCAGCAGTGCACAAGCATCAGCTAGAGCTGGAGTCTCCAACAGCTCCCTCTTCCTTTCTGAGAGAAATGGGGATGGGATACTGTCTTTGTATTGGATGCTTCCTGGAATGGCTTTGCATAGGGAGTGTATCTCCATGTTCCCTTCACCTCTACAGCCAGAGGCAAGACCAGACTCCTTCTAACTCCTCTCATACCCGATTTCCTAAAAAACACCCAAATAAAGAGTCTTGAACTGAATCTTTAGTACAACCATAAATACCAAACCTGATTTAATATAAAGCTCTTCAAACCAATGTCCCCTGTTTTACAAAAATTGACAGGTATGTGATTTATAGTACCAGATTCCAGATAGTTCTTAACTGTGTTGCAATTACAATACCAGAGTGGGCAATAGGTGTATAAACACTATGGAAACAATAACCATTTTTTAAAATTGCTTTTCTGTTTTTTTTTCAGGGAGGTGTAAGGGAGGTGTAAACTTGTGTTTTGTTGTTTGGTTTTTTTTTTCCCCAGACCAGGTCTAATAGGTTTTTCTGTTACTGATTTTTTTGTTTTGTCTGCAAATTTGAAGTTTACTGCATGTTATGATGAATGGTATATAAGAAATAATTCATAGAGTGCTAGTCCTTGCTCCATTTCTCCTTCTCTCAGAGGAGCATCCTTTTTGATATGACTTCACTCAGTCCATTACAGAAATCTGCTTCCTTTGTTTTTAGAATCTAAAATCTAGCTGTAGTACATTTCAACAGCATTTTTCTGGAGGATGCTTCTTCCCTCTTATCACCTATCCTAGAAAAAGGTTTAAATTGCATTATTAAAACTCCAAAATCATTAGAGTTCTCTGCTGATTAACATAGAAGAGTTTGCACAAATGTAAAATAATTCTGCTGAAGGCACTGATGGTACTTCTAGAATGTTCTGTACAAATGCTTTATCTTAAATACTAGATGTTAGCCTGAGGTAAATACTAAACTCCTGTAAGCAGGCAAGCAAAGAGACTGTTCACCGTTTGGAGTGTAGTCACCAAAGACTTAGAGGTGACTGTAAATTAAGATTACTCACTGTTGATCCTTGTCCTAATGTGCATGTTTCTCCTCAGAGCCATGTTCATGAGCGGGCTGAGTGAAAGTAAACAAACACACGTACACCTGAGGAATGTGGATGCAGCCACTTTACAGATTATCATAACTTACGCGTACACGGGTAACTTGGCAATAAGCGACAGCACAGTTGAGCAGCTCTATGAAACTGCCTGCTTCTTACAGGTAGGAAGTTCTGAGTGTGAAAAAGCAGCTTCTGATCTCCACATTGTTTTGCTCTTTGTCTTGTTAAATGCTCCTTCCTGTTCAGTCATTTCAAAGTACTTGTGGCCAGTTTGCTCAGTACAGACAGCAGCTGCTTGTCAAATACACTTTAAACGTCCATCCCTCCTTGCATTACAGTCCCTGTGGAAGATGGAAGTAAACCAGTGCACTTCCAACCTTTAGAAAGTCCAGCAGACATAGTCATGTGGTGTACTTCATCTGTATGAAGCAGTTGACTGAGTCACCGCTGTGTTTTTGTGTATATCAAATATTCCAGACCTAAACTCTGTTGTTCAACACCAGATGCACGTGCTTTTTATGTGCTGCTGGTACATGAAGGCGTATGTTGTATGCAGTAATACTTCTTGTGTTTTTTCTTTGCATTACAGGTGGATGATGTGTTACAGCGGTGTAGAGAATACTTAGTCAAAAAAATTAATGCAGAAAATTGTGTGCGTCTATTAAGTTTTGCTGATCTCTTCAGCTGTGAAGAGTTAAAACAGAGTGCTAAAAGAATGGTGGAGCACAAGTTCACAGCTGTGTACCACCAGGAGGCTTTCATGCAACTGTCACATGATCTACTGATAGATATTTTAAGCAGTGACAATTTAAATGTGGAAAAGGAGGAGACAGTTCGTGAAGCCGCTATGTTATGGCTGGAGTACAACACGGAATCACGATCACAATATTTGTCCTCTGTTCTTAGCCAAATCCGAATCGATGCACTTTCAGAAGTAACACAGAGAGCCTGGTTTCAAGGCTTGCCACCTAACGATAAATCTGTGGTGGTGCAAGGACTGTACAAATCAATGCCCAAGTTTTTCAAGCCCAGACTTGGCATGACAAAAGAGGAGATGATGATATTCATTGAAGCTGCTGCTGAAAACCCTGGTAGTCTTTACTCCTCTGTCTGTTACAGCCCGCAGGCAGAAAAAGTTTACAAACTCTGCAACCCTCCTGCTGACTTGCATAAGGTTGGGACACTTGTAACTCCTGACAACGACATCTATATAGCAGGTGGGCAGGTTCCTCTGAAAAACACGAAAACCAATCACAGTAAAAGCAGCAAACTCCAGGCTGCCTTCAGAACGGTGAACTGCTTTTACTGGTTTGATGCGCAGCAAAACACTTGGTTTCCAAAGACACCGATGCTGTTTGTTCGTATAAAGCCATCCCTGGTCTGCTGTGAAGGATACATCTATGCAATCGGAGGGGACAGCGTCGGTGGGGAGCTCAACAGGAGAACTGTGGAGAGATACGACACTGAGAAGGATGAGTGGACCATGGTGAGCCCGTTGCCTTGCGCGTGGCAGTGGAGCACGGCAGTGACAGTTCACAACTGCATCTACGTCATGGCACACAACTTGATGTACTGCTATTTCCCCAGGTCGGACGCCTGGGTGGAAATGGCCATGCGACAAACAAGTCGGTGTTTCGCTTCGGCGGCTGCTTTTGGCGATAAAATATTCTATATTGGAGGACTGCACATCGCCAGCAATTCCGGCATAAGGCTCCCAAGCAGTACTGTGGATGGGTCTTCCGTAACCGTGGAAATCTACGACGTGAATAAGAACGAGTGGAGGATGGCAGCCAACATCCCTGCCAAGCGCTATTCCGACCCCTGCGTTAGGGCCGTTGTCATCTCTAATTCCTTGTGTGTCTTTATACGAGAAACCCACATGAACGAGAGAGCCAAGTATGCCACCTACCAGTACGACCTGGAACTCGATCGCTGGTTCCTGAGGCAGCACATATCGGAACGCGTGCTGTGGGACTTGGGGAAGGACTTCCGGTGCACGGTAGGAAAGCTGTACCCATCTTGCCTTGAAGAGTCCCCATGGAAACCTCCAACATATCTCTTCTCGCCAGACGGAGCTGATGAATTTGAGCTGGACGGGGAGATGGTTACTTTACCACCTGTATAGCTCCCAAATTAGACTGCACAGCGGATTCTGTGCTCAGTTAGAAAAGAAAAGAAATGGCTGTGAAAGAACACGTCTGAGAGTGGGAATGTCAGGCCTGTCTTTCATGAATTGTATTTTTATGCCCTACCTAATAACACTTGCCGCCATTCAGTACGAATAAATGAAATGAGCAGATATGCTTCCAATAATCTGAAATGCTATTATCTGATAATTGAGAAACATATATGTATATCATAAGCTTAAGCATCTGACTTGTCTAAAGAATTAATTCTAGTTCTATGAAGTCTCAGTTCAGGAAAATTAGCTTCAGAAAAAAAAAAGTAGTTAATGTTTCTAGGATGATGTCTCAACTCTTTTGAAAATATCTTCCAGTTATATATGAACTACTTCTGGATATTCTACTTAAGTGCTAGTTATATAACTGTCAGTGTGGCCTAATAAAAGGACTGTGCTGCACTTACTTAATACTAATATCCATGTTGGTATAGTAATGCCATTAAAAGAAAAAGAAACAAATCCCATGGATCTACCTGTGGTAGGAAGGGTAGATCTTCCATTGTATGGTAACATGCAGGGCAAAATGACTGCAGGTTCAGTCAAGCTGTATGATGAGGTGCATGTGTTCTATTTTCACTAACTTATACCTGTCTAATTAGAATACAGGTCTTCCAAGCAGCTGGTAGATTACCAGGTGTGGACTTAAGTTGCTGGGCTTGCAATAGGAGTTGCCAGCCCTCATAGTGCGGGTCTGTGTGGGGCTTTAATCAGTAAATGCCTCCACACTCTGTATTACAGTAACATTGGCTCATGTATATTACTTCCTGCTGCTGATGTATTTTTCCATTGTAAAACAAAGTTTTAGTGTGGATTAACCAGGTCTTTATTTTCTGTTAATTTAATAACAAGCATTACTGTAGTGTGATTGTGTATAGATATCCCTTAGCTGTCAGGTTTTTTACTTCGGGGGAGGGGGGGGAAGCAAAATTCAGGAATATCCTGTGCTGTTGTGTGCAGGAGAGCAGATGACTAGTGCTGCTCTGGCATTAATCCCAGGAACCACTAGCAGTAGCGGGGCGCCGCCAATCTAACATGAACACAGGTGCTTCATGACAAACCCTACTAGCATGTTCAGCTGCATCATGTTCTGGCACTGTATTTTGAATGACATTAATTTATTAAAAAAGATTGAATCCAACTCACTTGGAGTGTGCTTTTTGGTTGAAACAGGGAGAGCTATGACACCTTCCCACCACGTGTGCGCTTGCAGCAAGTCGCTTATTGAAGGCAACTTGAAATAGTTAAGCCTGGAGGTGAGTACGTTAAGTTGCCTGTGCTTACTAGTCAGCAAAAGCTGGAAATTAGGTATTCAAGTCAAACTGAGGATCCCCTGCTCTCATTTTTATAAATCAGCACTCCTTCAGTCATGGGACAAATTCTGCCCTACTAAAAGTAAAGAACAGCAGGCAGTCAGGAGGTAAATGAGGAGCCTTTTCTGTAAGTTCAGAAGATGGCAGACCTATTTTCAGTCTTTAATAATCAAATTGATGTACTCCAGTGTCCAGAGTGGCACTGGCTTTTCTTATTCCGTTAAATACAGTTGCAACTTTCAACAAAGACAACACCTGTATATTGTTGGGGCTAGCCCTCAAGCGGCTTTACAGAGTTTTGTCTTGTACAATTATTAAAGGTTTTGACTAGAAAAGGGACTTTAGGTAAGAAACCTGCCTTACATAAAAACCCTTCCTGGTGCTTTGGCGTTTTACGCCATGTGGGGATTTATAGGACCCAGAATAACAATGGCAAGCTACCAATTTTTTTTCTTCTTTTTTTAAGAAGATGACGTAACACGTTTGCATTTACCATTACATAAACTTTTTTTAACGCCTACACTTTTTAGATAAGAGGGGTGAGATGACTCAGGGGCTCCTGCCCATGGGTCTGTTTATGTTGCTATCATGTTGCAAGCCTGTGCAAGGGAGCATACATTAAAACAGAAACAGCCATACTCTTTTGTAAGGCAATTGGGAGAATCACACACCTCAGGCAAAAACATGAGCGGTATCCAAGTAACTCCAGCCTGGATGGGCTGCTCAGTTCTGTGGCTCATTCTCCCTTCACTTAATTGTTATCAGGTTGCATTAGGCTTTAAGGATAAGCCTTTGTTGTTTAAGTGTAGATGATCTATACAGCTAGGGAAGGAGCAGAGTGGGCTGGTTCTGTCACTGAGGACTTTCAACTTGAGTTTAAAACCTTATGTGTAGTTTCTCACCAAAGGCAAAAAAAAAAAGGCAAATTTGAATAGGAAATAAATACCAAATGGGAATTATTAAATTGCAGTGGCTCTAAGTCACAATTGCCTAAAAGAAGTTGGAAGAACTCCTTGATTTTACCCCTTTAGGAACATCTTTTGAAATACAGTCAGTCTAAATGACTTCTTTTAGTCTACAGTTTTTGTATTTTTTTTTCCTAGATGTTATCTGTATTTTTTGTGTTCTGTATGGCCCAAGATTATGTAGTACCTTATTTAAAATTTATTTACTATTAATTACAGGGTATTTTAAAGACAAGACTAGTCAAGTGTTGAACAGTTCTCTAGTGACTTTTAAAGACATACTATTACTTCACTTACACAACTACTTGCTGCAGTCAGTATTCAAGCACAAAAGGAAAACAGCTGGCAAATGCTATTCTCAAGTCTAAATTCTTTCCCTGCATAATTCAAGAAGGAAACTGTGCAGGCAGAGCATTGTCATGTGCCTGGAAGTGGTCACTAGTAGAATTAGACTTCTGTAGGAACAAAGACAACAGCTAAAAAAACTGCAGTTCTTGTTTCATAAGGAGAGCAAATGTGATTAAAGCCTTCAGAGAGTTCTAGCTAGTGTCTTACTACAAAGCTTCAGCCTAATCCCAGGTTATTCAACCTGTACTTGGCTCTGATGTATATTTACATACAAGTTTCAGTGAATCAACTTTGTATGTCCTCAAGCTCTGGATATATCTGCAAGTGTTTCTGATATATTTGCCTCTTTTCTGGTAGAACTAAATATAAGTCAGCCTTACATGGTTTCAGTCCCCCTTACCCAAAGTAGGTAAAAACGTGATCTGGCCTCTGCTAATTTCTAATGCATCCACTCCTTTTTACAGTTGTTTAAATACATACCTAATTACAAGTTTAATTTTGTTGTAAGGGGCAGTGAATTGTGCCAAGCTTTACAGAGAACAGGATCAGATAGACAGTTAATTTGCAGGGGTGAAATAATTTGATAACATTCTAAAGATTATATTTAAGATTTAAAGCACTGCCTGGTTCAAAGCACTACTGCTTTTCAGAGTATTTCTCATTTCACTTCTCAATGCCTCTGTTCAGATGCACAAGCACCTCCCACATGGCAGGACAACCAAGGGGCCACCTGTGGACAAACCTGCAGACCACCTAACTTGTAAGGAAGTCAAACTAGTGGTTTTCCTTCTCTGTTCCCATTTCCAGCTACCTTGAAATTGTCTTCTCTTTCTGGATCTGGATTCCTACATGAAAGGAGATTTTAGGCAGACTCTGAAGCAGGCTCACCCTTAAAACCAGTTTCTTTCCACTTTCTGCTCAACATCAGCCACATGAAGTTCTGTTTAGTTCCACTTTCAGAGGTATTTACACGTTTCTCAGGAGTACAATTCAGCAAGGCAGAGTTCTTATAACCCAGAGGAGTATTAGCAGATCCGTGAAATGCAGGGATCATTCCTGGTGCCAGGAGGCAGCCTGTGTGGCATCTGGACATCTTCACAAGCTCCAGTATGGAAGGGGCTGGTAAACGGCCTGAACCAGCGGGTGAGAGCAAGACTTGGGTCAGTACTGAGTCACAGAACCTCTGACGTGGAAGAAAGGACTGACAAAGAAAATGGGACGGGCATGAAGGTGAAAGAGAAAGGGTAGTATCTCTGTGTGTGTCTTTTCTCCCCTGCTGCTCTAAAAAGCAGCTCTTCTGTGTCTTGGTCTAACCTGTGAAACCAGGTGTCTCCGTTTCAGCAAAGAAAGGGTTTAAGCCCTGCACATCTGCCATCACTGAAGTGCTGAAGTACGACCGGGCACTGGAAGTACCACCTGACTGCATCTCTTAAAACAGCAAACTGTGCTGAATACACACATGCACTCCACTGCATTAATATGACCAAAGAGCACAGTAAAAGGTATTACTAATAAAAGGTAATGATGTAATGTAGAACCTAAAGACTATTCGGATCATGTGTTAAACATCAAGCTAAATCCTCATTTTAAGATTTAGTGCAAGAAGCACAGCTTCTTTTAATTTAACTCTGAGCACGTGCTTTTACTGAAGAGAAAAATAATTAAGAAACAATTTCCAAAACTGTTTCATTAAGAGTGGGCATATGCTTCATCCACCTCTCTGGCACAGGATTACACTTGTCAAAATTCATATGCACACAAATTATTCAGAGCAGCAAAGGTCAGCAACCACAGGTCACATTAGGCAATATGTTAAGCTCAGCATTTTTTTTTTGCCACTTTCTGGTGTGCCTGAACTTTTAAATTCTCCACTGTGTTTTTCAGTGTGTGTTTCTTAAGAGTATCTGAATTGAAAGATGAGAAACCAACTGAGTTTCTTCTCCAGTATTTTCCAGCTGTTTCAAACAATATGCAAGTGATGTTATTTTGCATATTGTTTTTAAGACAAGAAGACAACTGTACATCTGCCTTCACTTTAGGTGACTGTTCTTCCTTCAGTCTCAACATTCTTACTTGATTATGCTCACCTGATGTAGAAAGCAGTGGTGCTTTCTTGGTGATCTACATTAAGACAAGAAAAGATTTTGTAGGTGTTCTCTGCTACTATTGAGGCAAACAGTAATTGTGCGTTCATCAATATTAAGTCAATAAATTCAGGCAGGGAAGTAATATGAAAAAATAATCTTACTTCACCAGTTGATTTTGGAATATTATTGCAAGAGGAGCAATGTAATGATTAAGCAATTTTGAACCTATACAGAAGGACTCAAGACAGCTAGACTTCCAAGTTCCATCACAACTGAGATTAAGCCACCTGTGTACAAAATGTTGTGCATATATGATGTTAATTTACAGGGAGTAAGATAATCTGAGTAAGGGTCACTATTTAACTGACAGAATTGATCCACCTCCATATAGTTTATGAATCCGAACACTATTTCTAATGTTTGATAAAGAATGGGGTCAAGACCAGAAACAACACAGAAGTAAAGCTCTGTGCCTGCTTCTTTAAGTCAGTCCCTTCTCTACTATAATATTAAAGACTCAAAACACCATGAAGCAATTTGTCATACATCTTTAATCATAATACAATAATGTAGTGTTTCTCCCTTTAATGAATACCCTCCATGTTGCCCTTTTTAATGAAAACTAAATACCTGCAAGAAAGTAAAATTACAGTGCATACAAAACAGGATGTAAATTTATCTCCCAGTGTGTTTGCACAACTACTTGCACATGGTTGGAAAAATGTTAACAAATTTAGGGGAACTGCAGCCGTTCGCTAGACATAAGCTCCACCTAACTCACATCTGAATGTTACTCAAGGCAGTTAAGTTTCCTCCTACTGGAAACACCCATTTTCCAAATCATTCTCAGGTAGGAACAACAACATCATTATGGTAGAAGTTTCAGAGTCTTAAAACAGCTCACTACGGCAGAGAACTGGATGTGCAGCAATTCATTTACATGGCATCCCGGTTTTGACCAGATGTCACAATCCACAGGAACTACCTGCTACTTTGAAGCTAAATCTACACCAAAACTTCAGTTGTACCTAAAGTTCTTACTGATCTAAGAGAAGTCTGTGACCTCCTGAACACTTCAATCAATTCACAACGAGCAGCACCCCATAGGGAATAAAAAGTCACACTAGAGGATCTTCTTGTCCTAAATTTGCAAAAAGCAGAATCTGCCATCAGTTTAAATGGAAGACAAATTTCAAAAAGACTGCCAGTGAATTACAAGCAGCTACCAAGATCAAAACCAGATGCCTGCAAGTGTCTTCTGGTGGGGTTAAATTATTAAAACAATACAGTTTTTTGAGCAGACCAAACTTTAAACAGGCTGGATGTATTTTATTTTTCAAGCAGCACAAGAAAAATCAAATACATTACTTGTATGTTCAATTATCAAGCAATAGTTTCTATGTTTAAAACCAGCATTCATGCCTTCACTTTTACAATTAAATACTGCCACATAAGTTTTTCTGCTTAGTAATAATTTGTATGGAAATCAGAAGCTTGTTTAGGCAAAATATTATATTTAATTACAAAGGTGCTTAAAACAGATGTACAAGGTCAAACAAGTGCAAAGTACTAGAACACTGACCTAAAAAGTCTAATTAAATTGTGACATTTGAGGAAACTGGTGTCAGATGTGCACAGGAACCAAGGTTATGACATGAAAATGACTGATAAAAGATGCTGAACACTTTAATGTAAATGAAATAGTTGGTCAGCAATACTTGAGTGTTAGGGGGCTTTGGGGACTTACATCTCATAGCTATGCTCAACAGGCAGTTCCTCAAATGCTGGCACATACAAAAAGCTGAAGTTGATGCCTTTGATGACAGAAAGCTATTGCATTCCCTGTAAGTCAGTGTGTGCTGTGTGTTGACAGCCAGAAATACCTTTGCAACATCAAATCACAACAGAGCTGTAACAATACCTTCACAGTTGACTGATTTAGAGGCACTATCACCAATTCACTTAGGACTCATTGTTTCTTACGGTGCAGAAATGGATGTCAGGGTCTTCAAAATGGAAGTCGACTGCCTAAGTCTTTCTGAATAATTAATAACGCCTGCACTGGAAATTTTAAAACAGAGGAGAGGAAAATGGCTGGCATTTGCATTGGATTTAACTAAAGATGTTAACAAGCATTATGAAGAGAACTACATGAGCTTAGATGAACCTCAGTGGCTGCGTGCCTTCCTGCAGCCCAGAAGTAAGCTTAAGCAAATATCAAAGTGCAAACATAGATGTTAATGAAGACCACTAATTATGAAGATCACTTCATCTCCACCCACTCTATGAGTCTTAATCACTGTAGGAGTTTAAATCCAAGATCAGTTTGCTAGCAGGATGCCAGTTCTTAAAAAGATTGAAAATTATTACAAGCTTTTTATTCTGTCATTTTTAAAGAAAGGAAAACACTCTTAATTAGAACGTACGTTTGGCTCCACAACAGAGACAGCTGGGACAGTGGGAATAAGACTGCAGAGAAAGATCTGTCCTTGCCCATAAGAGAAATACTGTGAAGCATGGTGACAGAGTTGCTGTACAAAGCAGCAAAAAGCTGTGTGTCAGCCTAGCACTCCAGACGCCACCTCGTTCTGCCTTTCCTCAGACTGATCCACCACAAAACAAACAAATGAACAAGAGTCAGCTTTCTAATATTCCCAGGCCAGCAAGGGAGTCTGTCAGAGCAAGGGGAATGCTGAGAGCTAATACATCTGCCATATAAATTTGGAGCATAGGAGAATTCTACAGAGAAAACTCACGTGAGGAGGTGACAGAAACAAGGATATTGAAAAGGGATCTTTAAAGGTCCTTTTTCTACACCTTGTAAATACCAACCACTTACCTGGCTTTTAGAAAATCCTGAGCTCCTAAGCCTAAATCTACCTAGTGTGCCTTAAGTTGCTGAAGTTAAGTTTTATAGGTGTTTAAGTCCTTTATGAACCTTTCGGAGTCTTCATTACAGCACGAACTCCAACCATTTAAATCCCAAACAGCAGACAATGTGTTAGTCATTTCACAAAAGCAAGGGATTATTTTTGGTTATTTTCTTATCTGCATGCTGAATCAGAAAGCTCTAGACTCACCACGAATAAAGACAGCTCTAGTCTTATTTCACTGCATAGTCTTTGAAAAGATACAAATGTCTATTACAGAGTTGTGGAATAAAACAGAGGATCAGAAGTGTTAGAAGATATAGAAATACAGAGACTAGGAGCAATAGTTGCAGTTCTATAGATACATCTTACTTGTGTCAGAAGCAGTAGATTAAGAGAGCTTTAGTGGCCTTTTTTGCCCTTCTCAAATCAAACTACTCAAAATAGCTGTATACTTTCAGGTTCTCCAAAGTCATTCTATTTAATTTGTCCTGGGAAAAAGATTAATAAAGGCTTTAAACCAGATCCTGCATTTTCAAATCACTGTTTGAAGCAATAAAACTGAAAACCATGTTGCCTGGATGGTGACAGTGTGATGCAAGTGTAGCTTTTCTATTAGTTCTACAAATGCACATAAGAAATTAGAACATAATTTCTTAAAACAAATTACATTCAAGCCTTCTTGTTTATCTCTTGTACAGCTGCTGCATTTCATTTGAGGAATAGGAGAAATAACCATGACTAGAAATCTTGGCCCCAGAAAAGAACACGGCAAAATGCTGACAAGATACCAACAAGGCGATAAAATAAGAGCCTTTTGGTAAAGAAAAGTTGGAACACTTGACAATGTAACGTAGAAAATGTTTACAGCTACCACGTGGGGATGTCAGAAGGCATACAGAGGCACACACATTGCAAGAAAACAGGAAATAATCTCCCTTGGAATCAAGACACGTAGGAAGTGCAATACGCTTGCATACAGAAGACACCGCATGCAGGTCACACAGGAAATACAGCATTGTGCCACATCCCTTCAAATAAATTTCTTCACACAAGGATACAAACTGAGACAGTTTAGTTACTCTCTCAATTCTAGTGTTACTTTCCTTATGAAAAAAGTAGTTATCCAAATGGATCGTTCCCTGAGTCGACACAGAAAATCGATAATAGCTGATTTTCATTTGGAAGAATCTTCATCACTTGACTGGGGGGAAAAAAAAAAAAGCCACGCAGAGTTTGCTACAGTTCTAGTTTTGGGTGGGTTTAGTACTTTGTATTCGTATGTATGAAACTACATTGATGTTGTAATTACATCCTAGTAGAGCAAGACCTCACAAAACTGTCTAATATCCATTCCCAATTTGGGAGAAATGTTTTGTAATACTTTCCCTGAAGAGATCTCTCCAACTGGAATCCCATTCGCGTCCCACGGTAAAAACAGTAAAAACATATGCAAAGTTATGAAGGCCTACTGTAGAATATGAAAAAAAAATACCAATTTTGCAACTATCACATAAATTTGGGGACACAAAGAGAGCCAGACACAGATTACAATGATACATGGATACAGAGGATAAAGGGAAAAAAAAACCCTTCTCAGCCACAGTCTTACTCTGCACCATGTTGAGTTTAGTTTGCAGGTGAAAGCAAGAAAGTTCCACCTGGCTTGGAACCCTTTAGGGGTTGCAGAGATTCTCTCAAATCCAACCTGAAAGAGGAATCAGTATTTATATTCTGCTTATTTCTAACAAGAATTCACAAACATTTGGCTATCAGGATTGAAAAATATAACTAGTTTACATAAATATTTTCAACATCCAAGAAAATGTACAAATCTAAAGTCAAACACGTTTGGCTTGCAACAAGCCCTGTTTGCTAACGTCTTCATAAAGGCTCAGTTTTAAAGAGAAGTAGTCATTTTAAATATAACCAATATACTGCAAATGCCAATGCCATCCCATTGTATGGAGACACTCACCATTCTTCTACGCTTCCAAGTGAAACTGCATAATAACATTCCACACCTGCTTGCAAGCAACATATACCTTATTTTGGTCCTGGGTAGTTAATCTCCACTCCTACATTTTGGAGCAGTTCTTTTTACAGCTCAGAGAAAGCATTGCACCTGAAATAGTCAGCAGCATTACGGAAAACCAGCATTTAGTCCCCGAGGCTTTGGGGCGACTGCGTGAAAGTGGAAAACCAGGATGACATGGCTGATTTCGCGCTTGTGAAGGCTCCTCCGACAGACTGACCTGCAATACAAACCGAAGATCGGTAGTGAAGTGTTACCGTCACTATTACAAAGAAGTATCAAAACAAAATTTAAAGTCACACAACCAGTTTTGCCCAATTTGGGATTTGAAATCCAATTCCAGAATCTGTGTCAGAAAACATTCAAAGAACTTGAACACAGTAGCTCAGCAGAAATGGCCTATGATGCCCTTTGCCCAGGAAGGCTTGCTAGACTTTGGGCCAAAAGGCATTCCTTGCCAGAGTGAACAACAGCAAAAAGAGAAGACAGACTCCAATGGAAAAAAAGAGGAAGTTAAACAATTTTTGGCAAAGCTATTGCCAAACAACTATCAAACCCTTTACTGGGTGGAATCTCATTATCTCGCACTGCAAGATGACAATGTGGTGTCAAATCCCTGATGTCACAGCCCCTGTTGAAATGCAACAAATGCTCTTCCAGAAAATTACAGACAACTGCAAAATCTGCAGAAACTGACACATGGACTACTTCTGGTCTCACCCAGCTCTGGATAGTTCCAGTCAAAGTAAAAATAAAAACTGAGATTAAAAATTGAGAGTAACTTAATGCAGAAGGTGGTGTGGTCTAAGGGTTTCCGGATTACATGAAACCTCTTACCTGAACATTTCTTCCCATGTTCATCTCCAGGCCACAATGAAAAAAGGAACATACACTAATTTCTAGTCTAGCTGCTTGTCTTTCCACTATTACACAAGATATGGGGCCTCAATCAGCAGCTCTACCCTTCAAAATGTTGCTTCGGTTTGTGCGTATGTTATAAAGCACACTTGGATTAAACCAAAATATAACTGAGAAATAGGATGCTTCTTCAAAAGAGATATGGCTTAGATGCAAGCTGATTTTAAATACATTTCTTACCTACAGCTCTTCCTGTCTGTACAACATTTCGGCTGGTGGAAACCATCACATTTCCAATCTTCTTTCCGCGTTCGCTGTTTTGCACAGAGCTAATCAAGAGAGGTACTGAACACTGTTAGTTCACTGACAGGTGTAAATAAAATACATAGTTAAAGTATGTATCATTACACACAGACTTACACAGCATACATATATATAGTTCATATATATGATCAAGCCCATAATTCCTGCATGCATCTTATCCACACAGATCAATGAGGAAAGCTCCTCAGAGGAAGAGAAGATGCTGTCAAAGCACCCAGTGGTTCATTCTTATAAGGCACACTTTAAACCCTGCACAGAATCACAGATGCAATTAGGTTGGAAAAGACCTCTGAGATTACTGAGTCCAACCTATGACCAAACACCTCTGTGTCAACCAGACCATGGCACTTGGTGCCACATCCAGTCCCTCCCTAAACACCTCCAGGGACTGGGACTCCACCACCTCCCTGTGCATCCATTCCAACGTCTAATCACCCTTTCCTAAATGTTTACCAAGATGCATTTATGTTCTAAATTACAAACTCAGATTTGCAGTAGTTTAGAGCAGTTTTAGCCCCAGTATATAACCTTTAAACAAAACAGTGTTACTGATCAGCCTTTTCTCCCTAAATAGAGTGAGTCTACTTTGTATCTTTCTCTAAGATTAAATTTTTCATCAAGGACAGTTTACACTCATGCATTTGTTAAAGAAATGCAAAAAATGACAGACATTATCATCATTTGGAAAGAAAAGCACAAAAGTAGTCGGTTCTACTGCACACATACAATCACTTGAAAATAATCTGTTTTAAATTGTGACTTTCAAGCCCACATTTCAGGCTTTGCAAACCCATTAATATGAAACTTAACAACACATCACAGCACATGTTTTTCCCTCTTTCAAAATCTTCAGTGTAGATGGAAAAAGCAGAAAGAACAGAAAAAGTTTAGGCTCAGTTTGCAAAAGCAAGGCATTTTGATGAGTATCTGATAGCAAAGTCCCACCTGGAGAACAAAAGCGCTGTTGTAAAAATACGTATTATTATTAAAAGCACACTAAGAACTACTGGTCTCACCCTACCCAGAGGAGTTAGTAACTCACCTTCCAAACACAAAAATAAGGTAACATTATAGACACCTACACGTCTCTCACCTACAAAGATTATCCTTTAATAAAAAGAGCTGCTATCAGCATGCACCTTCTTGAAGGCAATTACCTTGAGATTAATCTTGACTCATTTGCATTCTCAATGGCCATCACGGAAATTTAATCTGTCGCTGGTCAGCAAAAGCAACAAAAGGATTCAGGGAGCTGAAGTCTGAACCTTTTTATTCCTCGAGCTGTTCTCTGTTAACACGTGGTTTAGGTCTACCCACAGTGTAATGAAATTAATGTTTCCACAGCCGAGACAGGCACAGAGTCGGCAGCGCCTATGTGCTGCTGATTTACAGGCATCTTAAGGAACCAGCCTCTAAATGTTTTATGGTCAACACAGCTAAGGGAGAAAACAATCCATTTTGCTTGGTGCATGAGTCCAAGACTGAATTCCAGCTTCAATTAGAGATGAACACCCATGGCAATAAAAAGCCCCGCTGAGTTTTAGAGTTGAATACTACAGGCAGGAGCTGAGACCAACTTAAAGTTCAGCTGAGTCTGCTGCAATAAGGAATTACGCAAAACTCATTTTGAACTTGTAAACTGAAGAAGCAGAACGACATCTCAGCATGCATACAGTGAACTTTGAGAGTTTTAGAACGATGTTGTATTAAAAATCAGTTAATTAAAAAAAAAAAAAAGCTGGTGTCTCCCAATAATAAATATACAAAAGCCTTATAACTGCAACACAAAAAAATCAAGGCTCTAATATGTAACGTCCAACATAAAATATTGCATTAGCCTTTTTTTTTAAATTTATTTCAGGCAAATGTTTCATCTTTATATGTGGTGACGTTTTGCAAGAGAATGCTGTGTACAGTTTCATGGACATGGCCAATTTAAATCATTATCTTGGTTAGTTCATCGTAGCAACAGTTATGCAGTTAGTAATATTTGACCAAACTTTTAAAAAATACAAATCAAAGTACTACATACTTACTGTGACAATCTTAACTTAACATCTGATACAGAGTACTGTCCCTGGAATGGGTGGCTGCAAGAGGAGGAAAAACCCAAGAAAACATTAAATTTTTTTTTTTTTCATGATGAATCTGTATCACATAGTTATTAGCTCTCCCCCTTTTTTACAAAAAAAAAAAAGCTTAAAAAATATTTTGCAGATTTTTTACTCTATCACTTCACAGAAGGCTGGGTTCCAGTGACTACTCAAACACAGATTTCTTATGAACTACCTATAAGGTGCCTTCTATTTACAGACCAGATATTAACAATCTTTTCAACACTAAGTCAAAACCATCTCCCTTCAGCAACATAGAGCAAATAAGAAGCATCCCTTAAGTAGATCAAATGAGCTTTGTAGGTCTAAGGGAAAACCTTTTTCAGACTAAAGCAGGTGACAAACTAAAAGCAAACAAAATTCCCTACAGTACAGGGAATTTTTTTAGTACACACTAACCAAAACACATGCACAGCCAACAGTGCTACCCAGCCTGGCATGGTCCAATCTTTCAGTGAAAATACACATAAACCAATCTAAAGTATGGAAGATGCAACAGCAAACAGCCAGCTTCCCTCCATACCCATCAGAGACAACCCTGGACACAGCTACTCCCTGTACACCTGGAAGCAATTAATAAAAAGGAGAACCATCTGAGGACAATTCCTGAGGGATGACAAACTTTCTATAGCTGGGGACAGCCAACAATCAACTTGAACTCAAGTTTCACTTCTCCAGACTCTGGATATATTTTTCTTCATAAAAAGAATTAGCGAAAATGCTAAAAAGTTTCCTTACCTGGAATTTACCTCTGCAAGAGCTGGATGCTTGTTGCTATTCCATACTCTGTAGTTGTGGGTATTTTTCCAGGCTGCTACAAATGTTGTTCCGAAGTCTGACAAAGTCTTTTCATTGTCTGATAAATTAAAATAAAGATGAAAATTTGCAGAAGCTCATTACAGATGTCAACACAAGACAAATTATTTTCCTGTAAAGAAAAATTTTATTTTTTCCAGGCTCTTATCAAGTCAAAGACAATTAGAACTCCAGTTCTAAGAACTGGGCACTTCAAAAATGTTTTATTTTTATTTTAAAGTATCCAAAAATACCATTTGCACTGGTCTTGGTCAGATACACTGGGCTTTGCTGTACTGTGTGATTGCTCATTCAAATTTAGTAACCCCTAACTCCACTCCAAAACTGCAGTACGAACTACTGGAATAAACTTATCATAACAATGACCCTTTTAAAACACTGAAGAGTATAGGAAATAATTTAAGAGCCAGACAGTGAAATAGTATGAATTCCTAGAAAACCTTTGTATTTCATATCAACTGGTTAATCACCTCAAAGTACTGATGTTGTTAGACCAACAACTTGACATCTTCCAGATTTTAAAATCAAGTTCTCAATCCCGAGTTTTCTCAAAAGTACCACAGACCAAAGATCTGAATTTGTTAATTGGTGCAAATAGAGAAAAATCTGATAAGAGTGAAGTTAAAGGAGTGAGTGCTGGGCAAATTAAATATTTTCCTCAAATAAAATACTGATTCTTTTATTTATATTTGCACAAAAGGCTGGAACATAGAGAATTGTCTCTGAGCTAAAGCAAAAAACGTTGAGGCTACAGTAAACACAAGCTTATAAAGTCTGTAGATGAACCTTTTCACCTATGTGAATCTCTACTTAGGACTATGGCAAGACGGGAAAAAAGCTGGAACAGTCTAATAAAACTTCCTGAAGACAGCCACTTAACTTCATGTCTCCTTGAATCCAATTAGTTTCCCAAAATTAACTTCAGGCTGCAATATAGTCTACAAGACGCTCAGGTTCCTAACAGTCTCATCATAATACGGGGTTTCAGGTACTTCTACTTTTGAGGAAAACTTAATTAAACCAAGGAGTAGGAGACAGTCTAAGAAGAAGGTGTCTGTAAGGCTGTGAAGTAAGAATTAGTAATAAGCTTGTCAAGGAATAAAAGGATAGCCAAGGACAGCTGAAAAAGCAGCCTAAAATGAAACTTTAGGCAGAGGGAGACCCAGTGACAGGCCACACATTTACAGCAACAGAGCAAACACTTATTACATCCACCCCAAACAAGGTATCTGTTCTACCTGGTTGCAGCACAGCAGCAAGCAGTGCATGAAGATAAGCACTGAACTGAGCCCTGATCCACTCATCTCCTCCTTCCCAGCCAGTGCCATCAAGGAAAACATCATCTCTGTTCTCAGTTACGTGCTTCACCAAGTAATCTGAAAATCTCAGGTCAGCAGTTGTTGGGTTCAGGATCTTACGGAGTTCTGGATCATGGATTTGTACGTGAGCATCTTCTATCTGTTTGGAACAATTCCAAGGGTAAACATTTATCTAAACAAAACTGCTTACATATACTTATAAGACTACATATTGCTACCTAAATCTAAACCCTCATTCCCCCAAGACATCAAGAAGAAACAAATGCCAAAGAAACAACGAATTTACTGTTCTCAGAAAGTGAGATGCTGCTCTGATATATCCAGAATCTGATCATTTCCTTGGCACAGAGTCAAAGCTGCTATTTGACAGGATTTGGCAGGGTATGTTTGGTGCTCACATGTATTTCCCTAGAGGCCCTTTGATTATCACTGCAGTTTATTATTACCTTAGGTTACTAAATGCTGATTAAACAGTTGTCTCTCTTTGCTAGAAGTGACACATATACTGGGTTTTTTTTATTTGTTATTTTTATTTTTATTATTTTATTTAGATACTTTTTTTTACCCTCTTGATTAAATCAGAAGGAAGTCAGTATCAACATCTGCATCTGCTGCAAGCACTTATTTTTGAAGATTTTATTACAAAGCCATGAAAAAAACCCATGGCACAAAAAATAAAACTACAGCAGCAACAAAAGAAAATTTAACAAGTGCCCTGCAAATTCAAATGTTGGAATATATCTAAAAACACGTATATTAGTTTTGCACAGCTTATATAACCCCATCCCTTCAAATCATAGACATTTAATAAACTTCTGCATTTGAGAATTTATTTCACATGGGAGAAATTAAAAATTTGGGCACAAAGCTTTAAATGCTGTGTTTAAAATGCAACCCTTGCCTCCACCCTGCCCCTCAGGTTCAAGAGGTTCGAATGCCAAGATCCATACTTCCACAATTGCATCACTCAGATGTTTCTGCTGACGGAACAGGATATTGGTTGCTCCCGCAACAAAGCCGCGGACCGTGACATCCGACAGGAGATGATGCTGCTGCAGCGCCATGTAGGGCAAACAGAGGTACCCCTAGGGTGACACACGTATTTAGAGAGTTAACACTGAAAAAAATAACAGGCTATATTCCGAGTTCTTCCTAATTAAGAGCCAGGACGTTTCACCCAGAACGAACCTTAGTTATTACGGTTTCAGCCACAATTATCTATTGTTTTGCTACGCTGTATTTACAAAGCAAAGCCACCAGATAACACATGAATTAGATTTCTCAAGTGACTGTGTTGCCTTTCAGTCTCAGGACTGAAACCGAAATACAATGCAAAGGACAGGAATTAAATGTGTTTATAAGGCAACAGAATAAGCAGCATAAGAACAGTCATAAGCAACAAGAGCAAGGTCTCAGGTCAGTTCAGAGACACAAAGTCAATGGAGACAGAGATTCATCTCTCCAGTTCTGGTGGTTGTGAGGAACATAATGCAGGAAAGCTACAGACTGCTATCCACATTTTGTGGGTGGAGATTTCCAGACACCAGAGACAGCAATCAAGATTTGATAAGCATATGCATGCCTGCTTTAAGGAGGAGCAGGACAGAAATCAATACACTTTTCAGGTTTTTTTAGCCACTTCATGGTTGAAAATTAATCTAGTATCCTACATGCCTATTAAAAACAAAAACACAAACGTTTTGAGAAAAGTCTTTGAATTAGCTATTGAGAGAAGAGATCAGTCATCATCAAGAAGCAGATGCAGGTAATTTTCTTTTTAAATATCAGATGAACATACCCCTGAAGTCTAATTCCAGCTGTTCAACTGCATAAAGCACAAAGCAATTTATTCACTAAGGCTAATGGCACACTGGACAGAAACAAAGAGCACACACACTTTATCACACAGTACGTGGTAATCGGAAACATATGGAAGAAAGTAGCAAAACTGTTCCCTTTTGTTATATTAGGCACAGGGATGGCCTTCCAAATGACAAGCACTTATCAGCTGAAAACAAACAGCCTGTGTCAAAGGAACAACAGTTCTTTGAGAGGAATCACCAACCTAAAATGGAAAATTTACAAAAAATACATCTTAAGAAGCTGGTAAAGGAAGGTTTAATTACTATACACTCAAGGAGCAATGTCTGGGAAATCTTTCCCTATTTAAAGTATCACATGTCAGATTCCAAAAGCACATTTGTAAGTACAACAACTTTTATTTCTGTGAACATGTTCCATTCTTTTTTAAAAGAGTGCAAATGAAATGACTATTAAATCTTACAGAACTGGTACTGAAGAAACAAGCATCACAAGCTATTTTTCCTTATGCTCAGGTGTACTTGGATAACGTTTTATACCAACTGGCAAAATCTCCTCCCATTCAAATTTGTCGGATTTATTAGTCTTTCTATGGCATGGCATAAAACAACCCTGAGATCAGAGCTCTGAAAGAGATGTGAACTTTCCAGTAAGTGGTTCAAACTGTACTTTTGAATCAGATTTTTCTGCTAACTCAGACATGTAAAGCCTTTTCTGCTTTAATTACATCGGATGAACTCAGGTGAAAAGTGCCTTTGTGATATGAAAGGTAAACATGTAGAAACTGCCAGCTTCCTTTAAAATTATTCTCCATTTTATGAACTTAGTAGCAAACAGAAGTTTGCACTTGTAGGTCCCCCTTATCAATTATTTTATTCTTGCTTTCCATCTAGTATTTTCAGTAGAACGAGACTAAACGCAATTTACAGGCTATTGTTCTCATTACACAGATCATAAGGACAAACACCAAACTGCAGATCTTTGTTGAAGCAGCATTTCTAACGGTGACATGAGGCAATACAGGGCAATGACATTTGAGCTGCTCACTTGGGCCCACACAATGCACCATTTCCAATAAAAGGTACTGTGAGAAGCTCAAACACAATCATCAAATACAAAGTTCTGCAAGGAAATGCAAATCGACCCCTCCAAAGGAAGAAAAACCACTTTGAACCACACCAGCTTGAGGAAATAAATCTGAATCTTCTATCTTCTGCTTTGGGCAAACATTCATGACGTTAAAAACAAAACAACAAAAACTATTATATCACTTCTTTTACTGACAAAACTATCTTCAAAAGGGATGCATTCTTCCTGGTTTTTAAGGGAAATCAGCCCTAGTAACCAGCCCTACTGCTTGTTATCTGAATACCTGGAGTCCAGTTAGACATCAGTGCAAGCTTAAAACTCAGCAGCTCAGCACCATGCACAGAGAAAGAGACCCAGACAAACAGGGTTGTCACGTACAGAAGGGAAGGGTGCAATTTTGTCTTTTTTCTTTTTGCATTCATATACACATTTTGTGCATTTATACACACATATGCACTCAAAAATATACATGTAGATATAAATTAAAAGAGGAAAACACAGGCTTAGGTGCAAGCAAAGATACAGCTTTCAGAGTCTCAGTTTAGATTAAGGTATCCAAACGCTTCTCAAGTACTCTGGTCTTGCCCCATATAGGTTAGATCAACAATTCTTCAGTATAAAAGAAAGCAGTAGTTACTGACACACACAATTTATTAACCACAGTGGGGCTGCAGGTCACCACCACGCAGAATTGCAGGAGCATTTAAGTATACACATGAAAGAAAAGTGGAACGTGCATGTGCACAAACCCTCCTGGACATGCACCCCTGCTCTTCCACCTGCCTAGGAACACAGTCACTTGCCAGACACTGTAATCACATGTTTTGTAGTACCCAACTATCCACCTGGAGTTCAGTAACCAACATTATTACCCACTTCTGAAAAACAGATGCCTCTATGAGTTACCAGGTACCACAAGGAACGTACTTACCTTCGTAAAAATAGCCAGTGGCATCCCATACTGGTCCTCTTCCAGCCCAGATACCAGTCCCTGAACAAGTACCGTGTGTCCTGTGTTCGCCTGGGGCTGCACAGTGATGGGAAGGCCTTCTGAGCTCACACCTTTGCTCAGAAGATTTTTGGCCTGTTCCGACGGTGGATTTTCACGTTCGCTTTCTTTCAAACCGGACTCCTCCAAAATGCTGGGATCTAAGGTCTCCCAGTCGCTTTCAGAGGATGCTGGAGAAGCGTGGGGAGGAACTTTCAAGCGCTGCACAGCACCATTGGAGGACTGAGCTCCATTGCAAGTCTTCTCTGACTGGGAGAAAGGCACGTTTGCTTTCTGACCTTCCAGTGAATTGTTTCCTGTCATCTGCCTGCCTCCCTTTCCCATTCCCAAGTTTGTCTCTGAAGTATCAGCAGCAGACACGGAAACATAGTCATCCAACCGTGGTATATTTTCCTGCAAGCCAGTATCCTCTGATATGCTCTTTCTTGGTCTATAATGTGAACAGTCACTAAGACCATGTTCAATCATACCTGGAAAGTGACAGCACACATGAATATCAGTTACTTTTTGTGGGGAAAAAAGAAAGAAAAAGAACAAAGTGTTCTTGTGTACAAAGTGGAAATTCATGTATTTTAAAACACAAACCCCAAACCCCACACTTCTCTCCTAAAGAATCTGCCCCAGCATTTTGCTTTGAGAAGACTGGTTAGAAGCTAAGAATTAGCAGAGTTAAGGGTAATGTTTGTTTGGGTTTTTTAAGAGTGCATGTAGAGGGAAGAGAGAAGTTTGTATTTCTGTTTTTTAAGGAACTCAAGGAGTGTGTGACTTATTCAGGGTCCCATCTATGTCACAGTGGCTTCAACTAAGCTCAAGGAATAACCCATAAAGTGCGAGCAGTGAGCATTAGGTATGTACCTAGTACATGGACATGCATACAAGTCACCCATTTTTCAGGGAACATATCAACCTAACTTTATTACCACATAAGTTGATTTCCAAATGACACCAGTACAGCCAGTCTCAGTTATCACCAGAAAGCACACAAAAAGAAGTCTGAGCTTCTCTTCTTACCAGGAAAGAGTGACAGGACAGTCATCAGAGCTCCCACCAACCTATTTACAGGGGAAATATAAAACAGCACCTGGTGGCAGAAGGGAGGGGAATGGGAGGAAGAGAGAATGCAAGAGAGGAAAGGGGAATTAGGGAGGAGAGGAGGAGAAAAATAAAATTACTATGCATGACAAAGATAGAACACATGCAAACTATTGAAGGCACTGCTTTTTATGTTGTATTAGAAAGCCTGCTTACTAACAAAACCTCTTAAATAGTTCAAAGTAAATATTTGAATATGTCTATAGTACACTTAAATTCTATAATATTTGTAATATATGTCATATATATATATAGACACACACACACGTAATATATTTGAGAGGGACACAGATTTTTCTGTCAGTTTTTAAGATTTCTTTTTCCAAATTGATCCAGTTGCTGAATGACTGACATAAAATGTTGTTCTTGGCACGCCACATAAATTCTTGCTCATTTGTAGTACATTAAAATGTCTGTTATAAATCAAAGAGGCTAAACAATCTCCATTCCAGAACTCTTACAAAAACGTATGCAAAAACTTCTCTTCTGAGGAGTTATGTAGATAAATGAAAACAGGATAAATGCTGCATGCATTAATTACAGGTATATTCCTATGTAACAAAAGAATATTTTTTTGGAAACAGAAGACATGACTGATATTAACTTTGGTAAAGCACTTAAGGCATAACATGGGAAAACAGAATCTCCTTATTTAAATCAGAGAGACTGGGATTAGTAAATTAGTTAGGAATTCAAAAGAGCCTGTCAAAGGCTAGCAATGAAAGAAGAAACAGAAGCCAGAATGTGTATTACTACTGAAATTTCTCCAAAATAGGCCTTCAGGGGGAAAGAAATGGGGAAAAACACAAAACAAAACAAAAAACCCACAAAACAACCCAAACCCCAAAATTCCCCACAAAAGTCAACTTGTTTAACAATGCCATTTTTACATCCTCAATCAGCACAACACTAGTAAAAAAAACCATACATGAGCATTACGAGGAATCAAGAATGCAAAGGAATACAGAACGATCTAACTTGATGACTTTGCAGTCAGTTTAATAGGTATATGACGAAATTAAAAGTGCTTGTGGACTGCGACTTAATAAGAGACTTCTGCTGTAAGCTAGGAAGACACTTCAGAAGAGACAGGACAGCACTCTCAGGCACATGGTGTGACTCCTGGGGATGGTCCCGTGCAGGGTTAGGAGTTGGATTCGATGATCCTTGTGGGTCCCTTCCAACTCAGCATATTCTGTGATTCTGTGAACAATAACTCATGTTCCACTAGTGTTTGCCAGTCTACAAGCTACTGAACTGATGGAACCAAGAGAAAGACCTACACAGTCCTAACACAGGCCAAATGATGTTTAATGTACCTCAGCTAGAAGCAGACTTTGTACATTATCTTAAACATATTAAAAAGAAAAACTGTACGAGACAGGTGAGTTCAAATTGCAACAACCACTGAAAAAGCACGGGAAGAACAAGCAGCTCATCCATGGAAAGAGTTTTGGCTGACTCCAACGGGAATAAAGAAGTCTAACTTCTTTTAAGATGCTGCTTTTTAATGTATGTATGAGAAATGCATGATATAATAGCAATGAACTACAACAGAAACCCTGTGATACTCCCACAGGTTTAGAGTCTCAGACACCATGCATTCCTAGCCACGCTTACTTTTAAGCCTATGGAAATAATTAATCCTATAAAGAAACACCTTGTTTTCAAGAGATCTCTTCCAGTCTAGGTTCTTGTTTGGGTATACCGCTTACTTAAGGCAAATACATTTCTATATTTGTTCCATCATGTCTCTCTGCCATCTTTCTGTCTGTAAGGGTGCACACTTCCTTACCCCTCCTAACCCCACTATACGGCCCACAGCATTTACATCAACAAATTGGGTGGTCCTGGCAGCAGAAAGCCAAATGATCACCATCTGGAAGTAGTCTTCCAGCCCAATAACAGCTGAGAGGTGAAAAAAAAAAATTCTTTTAGCCCGTAGAAAAACATCAAACAAATTGGTACAGATTAAAGGAAATTGGTCTGTGCCATTTTTCAGCTCAAGGAAAACTGGCATTACTAATGGCTTCTTGCATATTATATTTAAGGTCTTTGAACATACACATTCCCACAGTTATTCTGGAACCTTAACATCTGCCAGAAAACAGGCAGTGCCAGAGAACCAAAACTTTCTTTTGAAACTGCAAGTGGTGTCTTCCTGTTAGAGCTTAGGGAAAAACAGAAACAAAACAACCTGCAGGTTTGTTCTGTAAGCTTTCAAAACAATTTAATAAGTTTGAGTAATATGAACATGCTTGGGAAACCCTCCCCTCTCCTCTTTTCCTGTGCATTTGTGTCTTGCGGTTGGAGCAGTTTCAGAAAAGCACTGTAGCCCACTGACGTGTATGTCCAAATGCCAAACTGAACTGGTGAAATGTCAACGCAAGATTTTTAAACAGATCAGTAGGGATACTTCATAAAATCTTAACTGAAAAATATTGTTTCCACTTACAGTTTATTAAAAAAATAAATCACTGAAGACTCTCAGAGCGTGTTAAGTTATTTTTGGGAAAAAGTTTGCATGTTGAGTCTTGGTTACATACATTTCTACAGGTGTACTCCTACTATGCCATAGTTACATTTTCCCAAGGATACCTTTTGCATAGCCTTTAATACAGTCATCTTCAGCATATGGCTCTTCAATGCAGAAACTGCATTTATTCTCATCAATAAATACCTAGAACTGCCAAAGTATATCTAACTTACAGAATTAAGTGACAAGTGCAAAACCTTCAGTGAAGTTGGTACTTACATTTTAAAATATAATAGCATATTTGCTGCCTCACAAAAGATACCTAGGCCTAGGATATAGGTTTAAAAAAACCCACAACTGTTTTGATATCTTATAGATTAAATCCTACTGACTTTCCAGCTGCAGCTAACAGGAAATTCTACGTTCCTTCCCAGCACTCTGAAGTAGCTGGGTTTTAACACAGTGGGTTCACTGAAGAAAAAGTCACGTATGGGAAACTGAAAAAAAGCTTTAAGCAAAATTTTTAAACCAAACCAAACCAAAATCCCTACATAAATGTGTATCTGGCAGCTGACACATAGTAATTTCACTCAAAGTTCTTATTCTAGGCTATTAGTATGTACACAGAAGAAAACAAATGTTTCTATTTCACATTTTGCATATTACACTTAGATCACTAAGACAGCATTGCTTCTGAAGCAGTAAGAGAGCCCAAGGCAAACACTGGGCCTAGAATTCAGCAGTTTTTACCAATTTATAATCAGAGTTCAGCCTGACCTGACAGACAGGGCTCTTTACATTGTCTCCAGCAGGTGTCTATGCAATTCAGGTCTGAAGGACACTTTTAGCACTCGTTTCATTTGATATGTCTATTTAAATCCTGAACCACACGTTCTGCTTACTGAATGCCTGTAAAGCTGCACGTGCCCTTTTAGGCACCCACATTTCCTATCACTTCCTTCATGCAGATACCTATTTGCATGATGGGTATCCTTTCCTACCTTTTACAGTATGTTAAGTGTCTCTGCTCACACTTCATCACATTTTACTTAGTCTGGCTGGGACAGCTATTAACAAGGCAGAGTGTGGACAGCACAGAAGTTAAAGCAAATTTATATGTCAACACACAGAGGTTATTTTTAGCCTAATAACCCAGTTTATACATTGATGCAAAGTTATTGATATTACTTCAGAGACTTCAATTATATATGTGAAAAAAATTTAACTATTGCATTTGTATTTCAGTTACCTGCCTCAGCCTACAAAACATTACCTTTTTCTCTAGAAGAATCAGTTTAAAAAGGATCAAGACCTGAAAAATACACAGAAAGAGAAAAACACGGTGAGTGAACCACCGCCATTTATCAAAACTACTGTGCAAGCATAGTCTCTTATTCAAGGTTTCATGGTAATCACTGCATAACTGTCAAGTGATCAAATACATTTGACCAGTGAAAACAAGTGTTCCAGTACCCTTTCTCCACCTGAGCACACAACTAAAAATAGCATGAGACGCTCAATAAAAGAGCCCTCCACAAACAAGAACTGTGTAATTTGAATCATACATAGCTTATCAGAAAGAACATGTTGTGCAATTCCAGAATTTTAAAAAACAGTAAACTGCATAAACATAAAAGAGTTCCTCCACAGAAATACTGTAAAGAATCCAGCAAAATACCAAGAATAGCATTCACCTCACCTAATTTTAGGTATCTACAGATGTGGCATCTAGATCAGAAGTGGCCATGCGGACTCTCTACACTCAAGGAAGAACACAGATACTTCTGAAGCATGACTGGCAGACAAGGTAAACAAAAGTGAGTTCTACCCCAAAAATCTACTGAGCAGGTGCAAGTACACCATGAAATCCAGGTTCTCAAATTTGTTTCCTTGATGCATCTCAGTTAATAAAAGATTCTAAATGCTATGTGTACCTTAGCTATAGCATACACAGTGAATTTCAGTAGTCAACAGGAAAAAGGAGTCCAAGTCCCCTCAGATTCTATGATGGCAGAAGCTACAAAAATTACAAGATATGGGGAAAAACACTCCAGCTTGTGTCTGCACAGACTTCAGCAATATTCTTCATCAAATGAGAAACAGAAACAAGACCACAAATAAGGTATCACTTGCACTTTGGGACAGGACTAAAAAATATCACACAAACCTAGAAATCTCCAGGAATCCCTCAGACTGACAAAACTCAGTTTGGAACTTAGTTTCACTGAAGTAATGCAGGTGGAAGGTGAAGGAAAATCAGGAGGCTGTAACCAGAAGTACTCAGGAAACAGTCTTCTTACTCCTACCCCAGGTATGTCTGGACATATTTATTTTTCCTTCTCTCACAAAGCATTTTACTCACAAAAATAGGTGTCATCCTTTATGTATCTAGCAGAGAATGCCTACCTTATGTCTAAAGTGGAGAACAAGATCCCGAGGAGACAGACCTGAGATACCAAAAAGAGAGCAACTATTACAATTTGAAACCCAACAGAGACACTAACTTACTTCTTGTCACCATTTTTCAGCAGGAGGGAGACACCCATTATGGATTCTGTGTGAACCTGGCTATTCCAATAGCAGAACTCATACAAAATTCTTTCTTTTGAGCAGGAGCAAGAGTTAAATTGATGATGGAGACAGTAATAATGTGAATAGTCATGCTCTGAGATAACTCCTGTTGGCTGTCACACAGCAGTAGGGAAACACTGAAGTAAATACTACACTGTGCATTCAGAAAACACAGGGAGCAGTCAGAATTGGGTGTCAGATATCCCAAATAACAGATAGATGAAAGCTTGAGCACCCTACACCATCAAACAATTTAACCTAAAAATTAAGAAGGTACTGTTTCCCAAAAGCAGACAAGAAGTTACCAGTCAGACTGTTAGATCAAGAAGTAACATGGTTTTCAACATACAACTACCTCCTATTATGAAAGCAACACTATGTTTTACATTTATTTAAATCCATTAATAAAGAAATGCAGGCACACAGACCTCCAGTGCTCAATCTGTTAATACACATTAACAAATTAGCTCAGGAAAGGCACGTGTTGTTTAGAGTAACATTATCTCTGCTGCTTGTACAAAACAAGTCACTTACCAAGATAAACTTGTGACCCTTCTAGCAAAGTACTGCCCAAGGAACTATTCATGTGATCATAAAGTTCCTGTAAGAGTTACAACAAAGGCAAAAAAACCCACAGAAGCTGTTAATGGCACATGGTCGCACAAAATCCAGAATTAATAAAATTTACTTCTTCAAGGATTTCAATGGCTTATTCCAGCAGGAAAGTAAAATTTTGCTAACGGAGTCAATGGACATACAGGCTGACAATCAGGCTTGTTCTTGCATTTCAGTACTAATCAGAAAGTTGATGCTCTGTCATATTAGGGCAGTACATTTAGTTCATGTTAAGGCATTACAAAAGCTGAAAAACTGAATGACAAAAGCAAAAGAAGTATTTGATCACTAATTAAAAACACTGAGGTTTTTAGCCATACACTGAAAGCTTTGTTCCGCGCGGCCATTACTGCAAAGTTACCTTTAGAATTGAAATTTGTGAGAAGTCTTTCTCTTCAAAATACGCATGTGTAATGAGCTGCAGCTTTGCCTGAAGTAACCCATACAAAGGCTTGGAAGAAAAACAAACACAAAAGCAAGTGAATAAAACTATTTAGTCATTCATTTTGAATTTTAATCTTCTCCCATGCTTACCTTGCAATACTGACACATTGTTACACAGAGTTCATGGATGAGCAGTCCTCAGTGACTAACTCTCAGTATCTTTATCCTGTGCTCATTTTAAATTATAGTAATTCCACTTTCCTTCCATTGGCATGTATCATATCGTCACCGAACATCTTTCTGACAAAGTACTTTCCTGCTTTAACACTGCTCTTACAGCTCCAATAATAGTTCTTTCTTCAGCTTTAAGCACAAAAAGCATTTCTGTTTCCTGCCTGGTGACCACCAGTTTTTGCAGAATAGGTAGAAATAAAAGATGTTTCTTCAAAACAAGAGCACACGGCATGTGTGACTATCTTAAAACCTCCTTCACAGTTGTCAACAGCCACTCCCTCCAGTTATTAGGCCAGATGATCTTTGAGGTCCCTTCCAACCACTCTATGATTATACTGGCCAAACCCCACAGTCCTACCACATGACAGCAGCACTTAAAAAGAATCAATAGGTATCTTCATCCCTGATAACAGGCAGACACTTCCCCAACCATTCTTACCAGAAGAAACAATTCAAGGCAGCTCACTCAAATGCCACAGCCTTTTGATTCAATTTTACTTCAGTATTGAAGTAAATGACTAAGGGATATTTGGGGCCAAGTGTTCCAAATAAGAATATGGAAGAACAGTAATTGTTAATGTTACCTGAAAAGCGTTGCAGGAGTTAAACAAACATTCTTACCAGCTGACTGAGGACACAGACACTTTTCTGTACTGTTTCTCGGGTGATGTCTGCTTGCCGTACTTTTAACGCCTAAGAAATAGAAGTATAACAGTATTTTGACCAACACTTTATATCAAAAAGAATGCTTTTAAAAATCAAGTTGTCATATACTACCCCCCTATTTAAACAAAATCCTAAAATTGGCTGCCTTTAATGGTGTGCTATACAAACCACAGAAATGTTTTGCTCTTACTTTTTAGAAGTACACCCTTACTTTTTCAGAAGGGATAGGCTGGGAAGGAGGGGCACAGGTGTTGTCTCCTATGTTAAGGAATGGATAGATTGTGAAGTGTTGCTTAGGAGAAACAGCCACGAAGAGGTTGAGAGCTTGTGGGTAAAAATCAAGGACAGGACCAACAAGAGACACATCTCCATTCTGTGACGATTCTCTGATTCTACCGAGTAAAAAAGGATCCAGACGCAGCTGAGATAATAGGCAAAGGACTGTTGAAAAGACACTAGCACGAGAAAAAGGCAACAGCCTGGAAAAAGCAGTGGTATTTTAACTCAGGATAATGTAACAGGAGAGATGTCACAACACATCACTTGCTCTTCTCTAACATTATCTGTTAAAACGGACCAGGTTGTCTTCCTTCCAGTCTTTGCCTGGAAATATTTTGCTTCATGCTCAGAGATTTTCTTTGAGCAGTCCATAAAATAAAGGAGGTATCATACACAGAATCAGCTACATTCTCAGGCAGATCAAACAGCCTCAGCACTTTCACAGCAAACCTGGAAATGGTGGGGCCAGAAATACAGACAAATGATTCACTTCACTGTACAAAGCAGAAAAGGTGTGGACTGTGGCCCACACATCAAAAATGACAGACGGAAAGAGTGCTAGAGCTACCACATGAAACACATTGTTTTTTATTCTACTTGTGCCAAAGAGTTCATCTTAAACGTCTATTTATCTTCCTAACTGGTTATTAAACAGCATAAACTGGAATCAAGAGCACAACAAAGCCAAGTTATTGCACAGTTAAATAAAGCAAGACTCTAAATCACAGAATACAACAGACTGGCTGCAAAGATAACAAGTGAACAAAAACCAATTTGGATTTAGTTCAAAAGAAACAGAAATAAAAACTGCAGGTGTAAAATTTCTCCTAAAATGTAAGTAATGACTTGAAATATAACCAAGGTACAATTAATGCAAAAGCAGAGTACATAAAGGAGTCTTTTATTCAGAACAAGCACATTAAAACTCAAACCTACATGCCATCCTAGCTTCTTGGCATTTCACTGGGAAAAAAAGTAATTTTTAAAGAAATTTATAATAACTTCTCAATTATAAGTGCACAAATCATCCTACCATTACTACTTTTGAAAATATGGGCTGATTTTAGTAGATCAGGTACATGATTTCCTCAGTGTGATCAGGTGCACACTGTGGCTTGCCTCAATTTTTCAGCTTTACCACTAGAAGTTCAGCATGAGTAAGAAGCTGCCACGAATGGGGAGAATCCGGTCTACTCTGCAAGTGTACTTATGGCAAAGGAGGTTAGTTGAAGACAAATACCACTACACTTGCAGAGTCAGATCCCAAGAAATACTCAAATTCTTCATGGTCACACATTGGAGAAATTTTGGCTCTTTCCACCCAGGAGGCCTAGTTCCTGGAAACATGACTTGGCCGCCCTACAGACTGTCAGCTGCATTTTGCTCCTTGGTGCTGATGCCTGGATTGGCTCTCAAGAAACAAAATATATTTTCCAATCGCCTTGAACATTTCAAAAGATCACAATATGCCCGCTGATGTAAGGAAAACAATAGTTCTTGAGTTCACCTACTGTGCACATTTTTGGAGACTTTTAATGTCAGCCAATCATGCAGTTTGACTGTTGGTGTAATGCAAGCCACTGAATTTTAGGGCTGTTAACACATCAAGCCTACTACATTTAATTAATATAATTAATTCACAACTTGGAAAGTTACCTTCGCTTCAATCTGCCTATAGCAAGAGACGCCATACACCGTGGTTCGATCCCCACATCTCGGCGGCAAATGGAAAAACACCGTATCTGTGAAAAAGAAAAGACTATCGTGTAAGTCACTAACAGGAGTTCAGTATCCTTATTTTCAGCATCACTTATTTATAAGAGGTTTACCGCTGAAAATACTGGCACACTTATTTTTGGAAACTTGGGGGAAAAAAAATAAAAAGGAATAAGCCACACATAAAGCTACTCCTGGACCCAAATTAGTTCTCCCACTGCAACACATTTTGTGGAAGAATGTCCAGCTGCGCTAATAGAGATATTCTGAGAACAGCCTCGTGTTTAGCCAAAACAAGCTCCTTTAATCAACTGATGGCTTCTCAGAAGCAGCTACTGACACCAGAGAAGCACCACTGAAACCTACAGGCGTGCTGCTTCCCCAGTTCAGTACAAAGGAGCCAAAGGCAAGGCCCTGTGAGTCAAGGTGTAAAAGTGGAGAGTGATGCCATTAAGAAGGTAAATGTAATCAAGATAGGAAAGAAAACCCAAACACCAAGGACGACACACACAGTTGAAAGATCAGAGTAGCTGTTACCATTGTCAAGACAGACATCCATGCACTACCACTACTCTAACAAAGAGGATTTGTGAAACCCAGTCTTACAGAAAATAATTACTGTCTCTGTGCAAGTGCAAAATGAAAAATAAAATCTCTATAAAATATGACAAGAGAAAGACTTCTATGGCTTGAGATATACACACACACACCACTACACACATGCACTTGCTACTATTCCAAGAAAGTTGCTAAATCCTAAGCCAAAGCGAGGACAACTCTTCGCCTTTCAAAACACAAGTGAAATCTGTTTTGAAACAAACTATTCATTTTTTGTTTGCTTCATAGTAACAAAACAATCAGGAGAGACACAGGTAAGTGCAGCTGCACAAGCTCTACCTAGCTTTGAATGTACCCTACTTCTCATTATGTATTTAACAATGCAGAAATTCTACAAAAATCGTGATCCAGAGCAGTCAGAGAAACTCTTAATTGCTGCTAGGAAGGTGATTATTTTGCTAAGGCTTTCTTTTCCTCTTCAGAAGCTGCAAAATTAGGAAGATAAGTATATCAAGATTAAAAAAAACCACCTTATTAAAATTAGTGTTAAAGGGTTTTTCTGATTTTGCTCTTTAAAGTGACTTCCTTGTTCACCGCTCTGCAGAAAAAAAGATGAAACAACTGAACATGAATACAAATGTCACAGTGATGAACAGTACTGCTGCCAAATAAACAAAGAAATAAAAGCAATATTAAACAAAATAAAACAAGCAGTGAACTTGCTGGTAGCTATAAGACAAAGGGATATTTCTATCTTCATTCTGCTGACAAATACACTAAAGCTCGTGTCATTCTCCTGGCATGAAATGACTTGTACATCATTTTAAGAATCTTAAAATCAGAGGAGAAAAAAAAATCATAATTACTACATACATCACAAAGATGAATTTCAGAATTTTGTTTTTCCCTCACATCAAAGCTGGAGTAAGTTTTACTCAAGAGTTTATTCATCCTTCAAAGAACTTCTGAGAAAGCTGGCAGCCTTGCTTTGTGCTAGTACTGTACACAATTGATATGCAACCCTTTAATTTTTATTGACATCTGATTTCTTGATATAGGAGGTACATCTTTATGATCTACTTTTATGTTAAATTTTGAAGTAATGTATCACTGGCAATGTATTTTGCAACTTAAACAAGAAGTGCAGGAAGCCTAATAGCGAAAAGAATCACTGGTCAGCTCTTCAGGTATCAGGATTTTTCTCTGGGTTGCAGTAGAAGTAGTGCATATAACCTTTCTCTCTCGCTTCTTACCTTCCTGATAGTTGTGAGCGCCATCTGGTAAGGCAAGAAATGGCAAGTACTTCCATTCCTCTGGTAAGCTGTGGCTGTCATGTCCCTCTCCAGGCTTTAGGGGAGGATAGGAAAATTCAACCTAAACAAACAAATGAAAACAAGAGGGGAGGAAGAGAGAGAATACATTACAGTTAGCTAACAAGCAAGCCTCTGCGATTCAGCCTAGCACCTTTTCTTTATCAATGGTATGAAACAAAGTTTTTCTTCCAGCTAGCATTCCTTGTCTCTTCCTCCAAAGTACACACAGACTGACAGGCCCTAAGCAGATTTGGCTTCTACAGTGCTTCCACCCAGCATAATTCATTTTCCTCCAGAGAAAGGAAAAAAGATCTTCAAGCAGAAAACATCACCCAGGAGCCAAAAACCTTCTTCCCTGTGTGCACAGAGGCAGCAGCACACTGCCACACCTGCAACGTCAACAGGGGTTATTGTTGGTGCACACACATCCTGACGTGGGATTTGACTCCTCAGCCCCTCAGGTGCTCATGACTAGGTAACAGTAACACATGCAAGTCTCTGTTTTAACCCTACAGGACGTTGAATAGCCTCAGAAACTACATTATCAGCAAAGTACTGCTTTCATGTATTTTTATGTCCCTGACTGCAACGTGTTCGGCACGCTGGCCTAAAGTAACTCCTTTTCCTTTCCCCAAGAAATACTGCTTTCCGATTTCACCTTTCATTTATTCATTTATTTAGCTGTTTTTCCTAGAAACAGGAACAACCTTTCCATTCCTTGCACTACACCACATGTCCAGTACAGATCCCCACAATCAGCATCTTTACAGTATGTTCTTGCATTCCAATGGATACCCCTCTGGGTTTCCAGCCGTGGCATTTCTTAAATTGCTGAAGGAAATCTAACCACAAATTTATCAGTAAAAGAAATAGTTTATTGATACTGCAACTTCTCTTCAAGGACACTTAGTTATAAAATAGTGAGTGGTAAATCTACACACAGAAGTTTTCCAGGTATGTATACATGGAAAATAAAAAAGTGTGACAAAGCAAGCATACAAATAATCTTAACATTTGATGGACACTAAAATAAAATAATTATTATTATTAAAAAAAAAAAACTGTAAAGGATGAGCATACTGAAGAAATGGGAAATAAGAAAAGTGAAATTCTTCACTTTAACACACGGTGTCACTCTGTCTACAACCGTTAACAACCTAAGAAAAAAGCATGCAGGACAAGAAAACATCACAAGAAATGAGTCTTGCAATTTGTTGTATTAATTTCAAGTTTTCTTATTCCTTGTTATGGTGGGTTGACCATGGCTGGGCACCACATTCCCACCACAGCTGTTCTATCACTCCCCTCCTCAGCTCGGCAGGGGAGAGAAAATAACAAAGCAAGGCTTGTGGGTCAAGATAAGTGCAGGAGGAATCACTCAGCAACTACTGTCATAAGAAAAACAGGCCTGACTTGGGGAAATATTTTTTTACCAATAAAATCCGAGTAGGATAATAAGAAGTGAACCCAAATCTTGAAGATACCTTCTCCTCACCCCGAGGTGGGTTAAGTCCCTCTTGGACTTAACTTTAGTCCCAGTTCTCTACCCTCTCTCCCCAGCAGTGCAGGCGGACGAGAAGGGGGTTTGTGGTCAGATCATCACACATTGTCTCTGCTGCTGTTTCCTCCTTAGGAGAGGTCTTCTTCTCCTGCTCCAGCATGGGGTCCCTCCCATGGTAGACTGTTCCATGAACTTCTCCAATGTGACTCCTTCCCACAGGCTGCAGTTCTTCATGAACTGCTACAGTGTGGGTCCCTTCCTCAGGGTGCAGTCCTTCAGGACCAGACTCCATCATGGAGTCCTGCCAGGAGCCTGTTCCAGGATGGGCTTCCCATGGGGTCACAGCCTCCCTTGGACTTTCACCTGCTCTGGTGTCCAGTTGTCTACAGGCTGCAGGTGGATCTCTGCTCTCCAGTGGACCTCCACGGGCTGCAGGGTCACAGCTGCCTCACTGTAGTCTTCACCATGGGCTGCAGGGGAATCACTGCTCTGCACCTGGAGCACCTCCTCCCCCTCCTTCTCCACTGACCTTGGTGTATGTAGGGATGTTTCTCTCACATACTCTCACTCCTCTCTTCTCTGGCTGCAGTTTGCTTCTGTGCAATAACTTTCTTTCCTTCTTAAATACATTATCCCAGAGGTGCTGCCACCATCCCTGACGGCCTGGGCCTTGGCCAGCGGCAGATCCATCTTGCTTCTGTCAGACATGGGGAAGCTTTGGGCAGCCACTCACAGAAGCCACCCCTGTAGCTCCCCTGCTGCCAAAACCTGGCCATGCCAACCCAATACACCCGTATTATAAAAGAGCTCTTGAAAATATCCACAAAAAGATAAAAGGCCTGGTGAAAGAACAAAGTCCTGAGCTAAAGGTAAGTAATCCACAAAGAACAATTACACAACAGAGTAGAAAAAAGGGCATGTAATAGAAAAAGGATTAATTTTGGTAAGGGAAGGAAGAAAAAATCCTGACCTGGACTTGTAGTTAGCTATCAAGAATCCACAGTCTTTCAAACAAAATATGCCATTAAGCAAAACTGAAGAGCATCTGACTTCCAAATGGAGACAAACTGGAAGTAGCATCCATACAAGAAGCAGAGAAAAAGTAAAATCACAAATTATAAGAAAATTAAAATGCTAGAAGCTTCATGAAAATGTTTACAATACCATACCATTTGCCGCTGTTCGGGCTCAAACTGGCTGGCTGAAAACACTGTTTACGGATTTATTACTGGACTCTCGCAGGGGGAACAACTTTAGCAATAAATAAAGCACAGTTCCTAAGTTTTTAAACATAGTCAAGGAGCATCTACACTCATGTCCTCTTTATATTTCACTGCACGGCCAACAGAGAGGGATTCAGATTCACCCTCTGCAGGAGCTTCTTTCCTTTGAATACAGAGGAAATCCTGAGTTCCTTAGATTCCAGTGAATACCTTCAAAGCATCATTCCTGACAGGGAAATAAGTAAGGATCTAAGTAAGGATCTAAGACATCATTGCTTCCAAGCGCTTACAGAACTACAATTGTATTTTGCATTCCAGACAAAAAACACAACTGTATTTTGCATTCCAGACAAAATAATGAATTAGAAGATGAATTTAAAGGAAAGAAGAGTAGGACAAGTTAAGCTATATGAAAAACATGTATTCACTAAGGAATACTCCTTTTTAAAGTCCAGAATAAAGCTGAGAGATCTGGCTCCTGTGTTCTTTTGACAGTGTGAAATTTGCTGAAGAACTACTTTGTTCTAGCTCACAATATGCTATCAACACCTCAGCTGCTATCAGATAATCCCAGCAACAGGGATTTCTGCAGGCTCTGTCTGTTCCAAATTCAACAAACTGAACAGGCATTAGTGATACTGATGATAATCTCATTTTCTATTAGTCTGCTTCTTTGAAAAAAATTTTAACAAATTTCTGTATGCATGTGTGTGTATAAGGGAGAAGATTACAAAGCTCAGATAAATCATAATTAAGATTGCTTAAGTGGCCCTAAATAATGTATTTTACAGATATACTCTATGATAGACCTGATTTACATGATGACACACTATTCTTTCTCCTCCCCAAGAGGATCCATGTACGAAGTACACTGGTTTCTATGGAGGAATCACATTTGTGTAGTTTAACAGATTGCTGCTTGTAGAAGCACCACAGAAAGGATGGAAGGAACAAAGAAGCAGCAAAAAGGACAATCCAACAGCAAGGAGAGCATGCAGTGCCCTGGAAGACTTCCTTCCATCCCTCCTCCAACTCTTCAGAGTTCCCAGGGATGAGAAACCTTGACTTTTTGAAATTCAGTGAGTAGCCACTGCGGGTGGGATTCACGTCAGCTGAGGCAGTTTTCCTAAGCATTCTGCACAGTCAGAGAAAACAGACACCTGCAAAGGATGATTCACCCGATACATTTCTTTCCATCATCTCTGAAGAGAGGTAGCTCAGGCTTCTAGGTCTAACTTGCAGATGAGTGAATTAATGTACATGAAGCTCACCCTAACTACTCCTGCCATCCTCTAGATGTTCTGTTTGATTTCTGCCGCTCAGTTTGCAGACTGGTATCAGCTGCAGTTAGGAATCCTTTGCATAGATAGGAACCACTATTTCTAAACCAAGGTATTATAAGAATATTGAGTAGCCTTAAAACAAACAAACAAACAAACAAACAAAGGCTGAAACGTCGCAGTTCCTGGAAATCTTGAAACTGAACAGTGCACATGTACAAAGGTGATATTAATGGAGGGACAGAGAATCTCAGTTCTATCTCTTCTGAGGTTTTGAAAAACTGGATTCTAAGTAAGAACCTTCTCTCAGCCTGTGTGTGTGCAAGCTGTACAGTGTGGTGTTCCTGGGGAAGGTAACTTGAAAATAAAAAGTTATTTTCCTCTCACCTTCCACTTTAAACCCAAGACAAACCATGACAGGGGGATGGGACTACTGAAGAAACACGTCTCACACCTTTTTTTCCCCCCTCTTCACAGAATGAAGAAAGAGGAGCTAATTTTTTCTATTTAAATATAATGTTTTTTATGTAAATCCATGTATATATGCACGTGCATGCATAAACATACACTTCAATTTCCCTGTCTGTCATTAATATGTGTGCATTAAAAAATGTCTGCAAATAACAGAAACAAAATCTTTTAATAAAGCTCAGTAGTCAAGAGGAACAAAGAAATACATGCAAGTTTTCAGAGCTGACTGCCAAATTTTACATTTCTTTGTCTCCTCAATTGAATTAAACAAGACTCCTCAACAAACAAAATTCAAATTCAAAGCTAAATTCCTCAGCGATTTCAAAACAAACTACATAAAACACGAACTAGTATTTCCCCACATATTTCTTACTCTTCCAAGTGTCATGGATCTTCATTCCAGCTGGAAATATCGCTCATGCCTGTCAAGAGGTTTTGATGGCAATGCTTTCTGCCTGCTCAGACTGTCATGTTCTGTAAGCAGACAGCTCTTAATGGATTTCAGAGCTAAAATCAATACAGAATATTGTCTTGGGATCTAGGGGAGAAACAAACTACACAAAATACTTAAACTGCTGCGAATTAC